ATCGCGACAGGATACAGGAACAAGGGTACTGCTTACGAGCGAATCCAAGGGAATTAAGTTGCAATAAGAGGACAGGACTACAGATGTGGATATCAATGAGAGAAATCAGGACTCTGCCCAAGGGTAAGCTCAGTTCATTGACAACCATAGGGATAGACATATAAGAATAAAATGAGTAACATCTAAAACCTCGCATGCTACCAGCGACAATACCATTGTGCATGACTTAGTCTAAGGATCTAAAGAGATGTAAGTTTGTATTTCAAATAAGTGAGCAGTTATGATTATTTTTCTAGATATAAGCCTGCTAATGTAAAGCTGTAAAGCTGATTGTAAGCTGTATCCCGTGCAACTACTTAGATTGATCAATCCAAATATTTGAGAATCAATGCTCGTGCTACTAACTCCACTCTCCTCAGAACTGAGAATTCCCCCGAGGTGCCCCCCCTGCCTAGGTAGAGCTGCAGAATTTTGCCAAAGAGGTGTGCACCCTACAGGTACCGGGTAGAGGTGCAGATTTGTGCCACCGAGGTGTGAACCGCAGGGGTGCAGACTTTTTTACCACTGAGGTGTGCACCCTAGAGGTGCAGAATTTTGATACCGAGATGCTCCCCCTCTAGAGGTGCAGAAAAGTTTCCTCCCGAGGTGTGCAACCTACAGGTCAGAAATAATGTTGCCCCCAAGGTGCTCCCCTTGTAAGGGTTTACTGCATTGTACAGTTCTAAAGATTGCAATGCTTTACTAACTAGAATCTTAGATTGATCATTCCAAAGATTTTAGGATCATTCCTCACTGCATTACCCCACTCTCAAAACCGAGAAAGTCCGGCCTGTCTGCTGGCATGACGCCCGGCCCCAAATGTGGCTTTGTTGTGTACAGTCAACACTCACTAAAGTTCCACCCCCCAGCATTAAAAAAAAAACGGAACTTAGCTGAATTACGGAACTTTAGATCTTTGGAGCCCCATATCGGCCGTTCGTGGTCTTAGGACCACTTGGGGTGGTTCCTGTCATATTCTATTGTTGTTGGGGGGGGAGAGATAAGCAGTCTTGGGGTGGAACTGCTTTGCTCCTATGTATGGTGTCTGTATTGTGTTGGACCAGTAGAACATGCTATGTGCTAGCTAGTTTCGAGCCCTCTAAGATGCCTGTCATGAAAGATAGATGAAGAAACTTCATATATGTATAATGAACAATCTGAATGCTGGGTCCTACTTGGCAGCACTGTCTCAAACTGCCACAAAGCACATTCACTGTCAGTCATGAGAACTAGTGACTCAGGGGGGCAGCCCTGAAAAAGAGGAACTTTGTAGAGTAATGGAACTTAAGAAAACGGAACTTAAGTGAGTGTTGACTGTACAGTCAACACTCACTAAAGTTCCACCCCCCAGCATTAAGAAAAAAACGGAACTTAGCTGAATTACGGAACTTTAGATCTTTGGAGCCCCATATCGGCCCGTTCGTGGTCTTAGGACCCACTTGGGGTGGTTCCTGTCATATTCTATTGTTGTTGGGGGGGGGAAGGAGAGATAAGCAGTCTTGGGGTGGAACTGCTTTGCTCCTATGTATGGTGTCTGTATTGTGTTGGACCAGTAGAACATGCTATGTGGCTAGCTAGTTTCGAGCCCTCTAAGATGCCTGTATGAAAGATAGATGAAGAAACTTCATATATGTATAAATGAACAATCTGAATGCTGGGTCCTACTTGGCAGCACTGTCTCAAACTGCCACAAAGCACATTCACTTGTCAGTCATGAGAACTAGTGACTCAGGGGGGGCAGCCCTGAAAAAGAGGAACTTTGTAGAGTAATGGAACTTAAGAAAACGGAACTTAAGTGAGTGTTGACTGTAGGACTCCACTCTACATGTAGTAAAATCTAACTCTGAGTCGCTAGCTAGCCAAGAGTAGAAGCTGGAAGCTAGCTGGACCATTGGTACTGGTACCGGTTCTTGTATGAAGGGCAAGCCCCCCTAATTGCGTGACATGCATAGGGGGGACTCGACTGTCACTCTTTCGTTTCAGATTCTCACTAGCTAGCACTGTGGGTTCGTTTCTCTAGCTAGCTAGCTAGCTAGTACCGGTAGGGAGGAGCACTTTTAAACTTCTCAAAAATTCTTTTCAAGAAATAGACGGGTCTTTGAAGATTAGACTAGGTGCCAGTCCTGGCAGAAAAGCACATACATCGGCTCGGCACTCGGCACAACATGAGATGCGACGGTGATGCAAGAATTGATCGATTGATAAGACAAACACACCAAGCCAGAGGGCCCAGCCACACAACAACAAGAGAAGTACCGTAGCTAGCTAGAGGTCAGCAGCAGGAGACAACAGCGAAGAAGAAGGGAGAGAGAAGAAATACAAAAGAAAATTAGAATGACGATGCTGCCACTGCATCCCATTGATTTGTTTTCCGAAGATGGGACGGTTGTGACGGAAGCGGATCGAGAGGCTTTGGCAGCGCGCAAAGGCAAATGTTCCAGTTGTGACATTCCAACCCACAAGGTGGCATTTCCCTTACGAAAGGTCCCCTTGACGAACGACCATGTCTATCAAGGACAATGCATTCGATGTAGTCATTTAACCAACAACAACAACAACTCTCCACAACAAACTCATATTCCTGAACATGTTCGAACGACCTGGGAACAAAAGTATCCTCATCTAGTGATTGCGTCGAGTAGCAGGCAAAGGGGACACAACCGCAAACCGTCGCATGGGACAAGCATTCGACAGGCATCTCTGACCAGCAGCCAAAACAGCCAAAGGAGATCGGAAAAATCAAGTCTTTCGCCCATGACTCGCAGCAGACATCATGTACAACTACCAACCAACCTGCTGGACGATTCCGAACATGCTTCCGGTCCTACGTCTTCCCGAAGCATGCCGTTACGAAACAGCGCAACGAATCCGGCATGTGTTGTTGTTGTTGACCAAGGACACAGACGATGCCACAGTCAAGGAAATCCGCACATTGCGACGAGTCCACACAAAAAATGTGCCGCCACTACTCCCATGCATCATCACAGAAAACCCAGTCGAGGAAATCCCATTCCTCCTCTGCCTCTCAATACATCGCATCATCAAACCCTCCGACAACCAACAAGTCATCCCCAGGACTGGGATGTGGCATGCAATGAAGATGCTTTTTTGGACGCCCTCCTGCTGTCTGCCATTACGGTGGAAGCAGAAGAAGATGGCGTACATCCACTCTTACGGGATAGTAGTACACCGGGGTGCCATGAAACACACCATCATGATGTATCCCACGCCATGAGCTCAGGCAACAACAACAACAATAGGGTACATGTACTGGAAGACACACCAGTCGTCAATGGGATGCCAGTGGTGCTTGCCAATAATAATAATGGGATGGTAGTGACAAACGGGGTACCAATTACGGGAGAGCAGTCCAAATGCTGCAATTGCGGGCATGGTCATTCTTCCTCAGCATCCATTCTGCTGACACGGGAGAACATACACCATTGGCTTCATCAAGCCCAGCTTCCAGAAGATTTTCGACTTCAAATAGTGGACAACAAAAACAACAACAATTTGATCGAGGCGATCACTATGGAAATGAAAGTGAGCAAATGCAACAAAACAGTGCAACGGAATGGTTGCCGAATACTGTACCAGTATTGCACATCTACCGCCAGCGACAACTGGGTGAATGGCGACGAGGAAACGACAAAAGGCATTTGTTCCATGGCCAGTGCACTCATTTCGGCAATCAACTGCAACGTGGAGGATCCGGTTGTGGTGGAACATGCAAGCTTGACGCTCGACCAGTTAATGCCGGCTTTCATGGCATGTTCACAACAACACAACAGCAACTACGACAGAGTACAGCGGGCCATTCGATTAGCGACAGAGGCACTTGTCGCGGCCCTCGAACGACAACAAGGAAATTTACCAGCGCAACAAGCCATTACCAAAACCCTCTACTGGTACAATTTCATGACCGAAAAAGAGTCCACTACAGTCGTTCAAAATGTAATGATCGCAAAACAAGCCAAGCTCTTGCCAACACTCCAAGCTTGCATGCAGGAACATGTACACGATGAGCTTTTGCAACAATATGCGTGTGGTATTCTGAATCTACTACTGGTGCAACAGCAACAACAACAACAACAAGAAAAGGCCAGCCAAGACGCGGCAGAATCCAGCAGCAATCATGAGTATAATCCTGTGGTGGCACTACTCTGCCTGATTATGGACCGCCACCGCAAAATTGTTTGTGTTCAACAAGAGGCGATGGCGTGCCTCTACTCGGCCACTGTGAACAATAGTCTCGTCGAGGCGGTCGAGATATCCGCTGTCGTGGAAGCCATGAAAGCCCATCCTAAGGACAAATCGGTGCAATCGTTTGGTTGCGGCGTGATCCGGAACGTTTCGGTGCGCAAAACCAACGTTTCCGTAATTGAACAATGCGGTGGGATTGACGTCATTGCCCGGGCCATGGATGCGCACCCTGGTGAAATGATGTTGCAGTGCAGTGGTTGCCGAGCACTCAAACATTTGGCAGTGGATGATTCCATGGAGCTGCTGATTCAACAAAAGGGTGGAATTGGAACAATCATCCAGTCTCTACAAGGCTTCCCCTTGGAGGCTGAGTTGCAACGTGAAGGCTACGCAGCTCTTGCCCACCTGTCTCACCGAAAGGACTCAAAATCCATATTGGTCCGCCACCCTGGTTTGGCGACAATGCTAGTGGCTGCCATGAAACAGCATCGGCAGGACGGAAATGTGCAGCAAAAGGTCTGCAGCGTCCTGCTCAACCTGTCTCTCAGTGAGACATTTACAAATGCATTCGATCAACTTGGGGGAATCACATTGGTCGCAGCAGCCATGACGAATCATGCAGAGGATGTCAAACTGCAACAATACGCTATTGGGTCACTCCAGAACTTTTGTCGCAAAGGCAATTGTAGCGCCACGTTACGAGCCAGCGGTGCAATAGAGGCCGCCATCCACTCGATGTCCGCGTATGGTGGCAACCTCAAAATCCAGATGCACGCCTTGGGATTCATAAAGAATGCGTCGACCCACAAGGAAACCGCCATTCAGATTGCCCAAGCTGGAGGTGTTCGGTCTATTCGAGAGGTAACGGAGAAACACACATACAATGCCGCTCTGCATCTGGAGGCTTGCCTGGCGATGGTGAATATGTCCCGTGCAAAGGAAGTCGGGGCGACGATTGTGGAAAATGGAGGCGTCTCCATAGCAATCTGCGCCATGCGGCAGCACGTCGATTCTGCGGCGGCCCAATACGCAGGATGCGGACTTCTCTGGAGTCTTTCGGCGACAACATCCACGAGCCATGATGTGATTGCGTCCCAGGGAGGTGTTCGTAGCATCCTGCAAGCCATGAAGAAACATCCAAAAGCTGCTGATGTCCAGCAAAAGGCATGCCTGGCATTGTATAATTTGACACCACATGAGGGTTGCCGAAAAGGAATCGAAGAGAATGGCCGCGGGGTAATCTTGGCAGTGACAGCCATGCGAGAACACGGTTCTGATCTCCCCATTCAGAGATACGCCTGCAAGTTCTTGGCTCTCATGGTGCGTGGTGGCAAACACAACGTTGATATTCTAACGGCGAATGGTGGTGTCCCCGTTGTGAATGCGGCATTGGAAAGCTTCAGGAGCAATGATGACGTGCAGAAATATGGCACCCGAATTGTAGAAATCTTCAGGCGCAGCCATGGCTGAGGAAGTGGGAGAGAGATATCACAGGTGCGAGGGGAAGGCACCGGGGGCATTCTAATTAAAACGCCACGATTTTTCACATCAGATCAATCTTTGCTCTAGCTAGCTGGTGTATGCCATTTTGCTATGGCTGAGCAGCTACGTTCATTTTCGAGGCCCAGGGAGACCATGCGACGTCCCCCGCAGTCCAGATGGCATCTAGACTCTGCTCCACAGTCAGCGGCTTAATGAATGGTCAGCTGGCCGAATTGATCAAAACAAGCCACTGATCGCAGAGACTAATGCTGGACAAGGCACGACATGTCATTCACTATTTTTAAATTTTGTTGTTGACAATTTATCACCCACCTTCTGTCGTTATTTCCTGGCTGTGACTTGGATGTGAAATCCTCCTTTCATCTTGCTGATCAAGCAATAGGGTTCAACGGTGCCATTGTGCCCTTTGTTGTCTTGGAACTCAAATCGTTGGACCAGATAGGCCAGTGTCAACTTCAAGGTGTTGAGAGCCATGGGTTTCCCAAGACACATCCTCTTTCCTGCATTGAATGCTGTAAATTTGAAAGCTGTTGGTTCCTTTTGGTTAAAGAACCGCGCTGGCTTGAACTCATGAGCATCGCTGCCCCAAACATGCCTGCTCCTTCCCATGACATACGGAGGAAAGGCCACCATGGCTCCCCTGGGAATAAATGTTCCATCAGGCAAGATATCTTCCCTGACAGCATACTTTGCTTCCTTTGGAACAGAGGGGTGTAGTCGAAGAACCTCCATGACAACAGCATCAATGTATTGCAACTTTCCAATAGTGTCATATGAATAATCTTGACCAGAGTCATCATCTGCTCTGCCACAAACGTCATTTGCTTCTTCCAGCATCTTCTCCACTACTTCAGGATGCTTGCAGAGCTCGAAGATTGTCCAGGAGAGAGCAACAGCTGTAGTGTCTCGACCAGCGGCCATGGTATTTGTGATGACATCCCTCAGTTCCTCATCAGAAATGGGGTCGTTGTGTGTGGCAGCATCGTCCAGACATCGACTGAGAATGTCTGGACCCAGCTTCCCATCCTTGGCTGTGCGCCTTCGTCCTTGGATGATTTCCTTGGCATTTTCATCCAGGACGACCTTCAGCTGACGAACCCTTTTTTCTCTCTCTGTCAGGTTGAAGTATCGCTTGAGCTCAAAGAAAGGATCTGACAATCGCTGAACCATGAGTACCTGCATTTCATCGAAAGCCTGTGCAAACACGTGCTGAGTTTCATGCTGGAGGCTTCCATACTCAACTCCAAATGACACAATAGATGTGATATCAAATGTCATGCGAAAGAAGAGATCTTGGATATCAACTTCCTCCTTTCCACTCGTACTAGTTGAGGTATCATTCAGAACTGCCGACAGCTCTTGTACCTTCTCCAATGTGACTTTGGATGACTCTCGGAGCAGGTTGGTAGAGAACATGCGGGAAGCAATCTTTCTGTGGCGATACCACGTGGATCCATCTGCCACAAAGATTCCATTTCCCATGAGTTCTCGAAAAGCAGTTCGAAAGAGATCTCCCTTTTCATAGTTTTCAAAGTTGCTGCCTAGAATGTATTCAATGTTCTTTTCATCGGAAATCAAGAAATAGGCACCACTCAATGCACCAAGATTGGGCATGGGTCCTCCCCATGTACATTGATGCTTTTCCGTCATTTCCAATATGACTTCCAGTACTTGGCCGCTATGATCCAAGAAGAACTTTAGAATCCCGAGGAATGGATGCCTTTCTGGCCCTGGTAATGATTTGTCCACAGGGTAGGGTTTGACGCGGTTGTAGGCACGAAGGAGTGAATGAATCAAGATGGCAACCGTGGCACCTGCCAAGAGACTTGCGGTTGGAAATTCGGTACCAGTTGTGCTCTGCATTGTTTGACTATATTGGAAGAAGAATTCAAAAAGTGCAAAAGAAAGAGGCTGAACGCCGATGATAGATTTCTTTTGTGAGTGTCGAGGAACAAAGAGTTTGCGTGCTGAAGGATGCAGCAGAATACCTGATACATGTACGTCAACGCAGCCGCTCCCTTTCTGTGATGCATCAGAGAGGATCCCCCACTTTTGCACCTGGACATCACAATGGTGGTACCGTTTGCCTTTTAAATTCCGGCACAGAAGAAGTCTTCAAAGGCTTCGCAAGAAGGCGAGGAAGAAAGCTGAAAGGCGACCTATCATACCGGTACGGTAGCATGGTACCAGTACCTGTTAGCAAGCCAGCTTAGCTGGCTTCAAATCCCACATAATCTCTCTCCTTCCAGTAAGAAGTGAGTCGAGCGAGCTAGCCAGTCGCCACTGACGATGACGTCCGAACGGAAGGCCCACCACCAGCCATCAACAAAGCATCAACCCGATCTTTGGAAAGCTTCAGCCGACACGCCGACACAAAACTCTCTTTGGTTGGATCATTCATTTATTCCTTTTCTCTGGACAGCAAAGGTTGGACAGCTGTAAAAGTGGTACCACATAGAAGACGTCCAGCAGGCTGAAGTAGGATTGCTATTGGCAGTGCAGTACTGTACTGTACTTGTGTGGGTATCGTCAGGAAAAAAGAGATCAGCAATCAAGAAGAAGAAGAAGAATGTTGGAACATTCGGCAAGACGGAGATCTTCGTGTCAAAGGCGGCCATGGATGGGGTTGGTGATGATGTTGGGACTCTTGGTCGTTGCGGCTTGTGATTTTTGCCATGGCTTTACTTCCACCTTTGGAAACCCAAGAATATCCAGAGTGGCGCTTCACGCCAAAAAGTCTTCTCCGGTGGACAATCAGGGCAACCGGCGGAAACCTCGATTTGCCCAACAAGTGCACAAACAAAACAATCCACAACAACAGCAACAACCACAACAACAGCAACAAAGACCATCACGTGTCCGCAAAGAAGCAGCTCCTCCTCAAGAGGTTTCAAGTAGTAGTACGAGCAGCAGCAGTAGAAGTAGTGTAGAACCACCCAGAAGAACCAATGGCCAAATAAGTATGAACCGGCCAGTTTCTTCTGTGTCGCCCAATGCGCCTTGGAAGTCTGGAAAATCCATGGAAGAGCTGGAATCCATCATGACCAAACGATGGGGGACTGACTCTTCTAGATGGTCCTTTGACGAAAATTACGACGACGACGATTATGAAGTGGTTGAGGAGAACGATGAGGAGGAGGACAGTGAGGAGGAAACAACCACGACGGCCTCTGTGAAGCAACAACACGACAACGACAATCAGGATTTCTTTTTTCGGGCACCTACTGCCGAAGAATTTTACGACCCCGACGATGTAGGATACGAACGAATGGCCAAACCAAACAACAACAACAACAATGGACGACCCGATTTGAATTTTGACAATATCGTGGCACCAAAACCCATTGGTGGAAAAGGAACCAACAACAACAACTTGCAACAACAAGACAATGAGGAAGGTGGATTCTTTGTCACAAAAAAGTCTTCCTCCACCCCCAGCCGACAAGAGCAAACGATTGTGGAACCACCCCGACCAGACCCACAACGTCGACAAAAGGCGCCCCTGATTCCATTTCTCAAGGATCCAGATGGAAATCCCATGTTGTTGACACTCCAACAAGCCAAGGCGAATTTTGATGCCATGACGGCTTCTGCCAGCCAGGACGACTTGGAGGATGACGACACCTCTACTATGGAAACTGCCCAATCATGGCAAGAACTGGGAATTACGTCTCCCACGCTCCTCAGCAATCTACAACGCATGCAGTGCATTACTCCTTTAGCAGTCCAAGACAAGGCGTGTCCTGCTATCATCACCGGACAGGATGTCTTGGTCGGCACATACACGGGCAGTGGCAAAACACTGGCGTTTTTGGTACCACTCATGGAACGAATACTCATGGCGGATGACAATGCAACTAATAAAAAGGGCGTCCAAATCATGGTCGTGGTGCCGGGACGAGAATTGGCCAGTCAAGTCGTCAGCGTGGCGCGCCAATTGTTGGAAGGAACCGGACGAAAAGCCATGTTGGCCATTGGTGGAACTGGATTTGGAAGGAATTTACAGGATATCCGACAAAAGAAACCTTCCATTATTGTGGGAACGCCAGGGAGAATGGCCGAGTTGATTGTTGGAAAACCAGGTGAAAAGTACGTAGGTTTTTTGTTTGTTTCGTTTTGTGCGTTTGGTTTGGTTTGGTTTGGTTTGGTTTGTGCGTTTTGACACATTGTGCATCTTACACTTTTATATTATGATGTTGACATGAGCAGAGGAGGAAGGTTGAAGGTTGCGGACCTCCAGTCGCTAGTCTTGGACGAATTCGATGCGTTGCTATCCTACAAACCGCATCGTGACCCAACTGCTGCCATTGTGGCCGCCTTGAAACAACGCCATAGAGATGCTCTGCAATCCATTCTATGTTCTGCCACCGCCACGGACATGTTGGGGTCGCCACAGTTGGACAAATATCTTCGACCAGGATTTGCTCAGGCCATGGCAGATCGTAATGACATTCTCGTAACATCACCAACAACAACAACAGCAGCCAACGATGCTTCAAAGAAAGACAACATTCCACGAGTCAGTCGAACCGTCATTCATGGCGTTGTGCACGTCGAACATCGCCGCTTTGCCTTGGAAACGCTCAGGAGAATAGTCCACACCGATCCCATTCCACAACAAATTCTTATTTTTGCTGAAAATGCAAGAAAGGTTAGCATTGTCGTGGAAAAACTCGAGTCCATGGGCATTGTCGCGGCTCCCTTGTCGGGCGGACCCAAGAGTGAAAAGATGGATCGTGCCGAAGTATCCAAGGCTTTGAGAGAAGGATACGTCGGTATTGTCGTAGCAACAGAAATGGCTGCTCGTGGTCTGGATGCGCCGTTGTTGACACATGTGGTCAACTTGGATCTACCCACAGATTCGTCTCACTATGCGCACCGCGCAGGACGTTGTGGTCGTGGAGGACGTCCAGGAGTTGTCATCAACCTGACGACCAGTCCGCAAGAGCGCTTGGTGCCACAAAAGTTTGCCGATCGATTGGGTATTACCATGCATTCTGTCGAAGCAAGAGGAGGAAAGCTGCATATCGTGGAAGATGGTGTTCAGAAACAATAAGCAATAGACTTGGCTTTGGCTGGGAAAAGATAATAGCCAGCAGATGCCGGCAATTCGCGACACGAGTGCAACGAATCCGTCTTCTTTGTCGAGTCAACAATCATCAAACCCCGCCAGGGATATCCGCTGACAAGGGCTGCATTTACACCAACGAGAACACAAAACACAACCACACTTTGTACCAAAATCTATTACGTAGTACCAGTAGTCTCAAGGAGAAATGCCTTTCTAGCTAGTTTGCTCCAAGGGCTTCTTTTATATGCAGCTGTCGCTCCTATCCTCTTCCGGAACCTGTTGTCGCACTCTTTTCATGATACCGGAAACTTCCAGTGCCAACATTGGCTCCTTGATGGCTGCTGCACCTCCAAGTCTCTGCAGAGAATCACAAAAGTGTAGCGATGGAATATACCCAGCCTAATGGCTGCTGCTATTTTACATCCGTACCTGGTACCAGTATTGGTGCGCACAGAGCTGGACCTGTACGGTATAATGGGACCATTTCCTCCTTGCCGCGACGAACTCGCGCTTGAAAGCACGCTCCTTATTGCCATTACCAGCCAGTGGCTGGAGGGTCAAGCATGGCTCATTCCCGTTGCTTCTACTTCAGGGTCCCTTCCAACACTGTCGTCGACTCACGGAGTACAAAGGAATGGTTGTGGCATGTCAAATCAAACTGTCCATCAGATGTGTTGTATCCTACTCGACAATCTCCTCCATGCGGGACCATGCAGTAGTTTCGATTCGTCTCTCGCACCGATGCTGGCAAGTCTTTCTTCAGGTGCATGGCAAACACGCCTTCACCATGATAGTTTGAGTCCTCCTTCCGAAATTTGTCTAGCGCGTTCGAATTTATACCAATGCCTACCCTCGTATACGGAGCAAACTTGGACCAAATAATAGGTTGGTCAGCTGGTACTTCGGAGTAATTGGAACTTACGACAAGTCCTTGTTTTTGAAAGTATCCTCCAACATGACGCCCATAACGGGGGAATCCATGAGGCTGCAAATGGCCATTATCTCCGCATTGGACAGTAAAGTTTTCGGATGAAGGTGTCATATCCGAATAGGTCTTGGCGAGTGCATACCACAATCCATTCTGGTCGGCATGGATCCAGTTGTATTTTTTGCAAGCACCAACTCTGTCAAAGTTCCCATTCGGACACAAGCCTTGACCATAGGTCATCCAGTTTCCCAGCATTTTCCTTCCAAAGTCCGAGTTGCGTATCAGAATGGCAAAGCTTGAGAATAGAAACTGAAACTGACTATCCTTGGCATGGCCGTCTTCCGGAACAATGACTTGCACGTTGGTGAGATGGTGCTGGTCCAGATCTGCCAGAATGGTTTCCAAGGGGACTGCCAAGTCGGCAAACAAGTAGTCCACATCAGCCCACAAGATCCAGTCGTATCCGTGCTTTTTATCCAACAACTCTAGCAACTGTGGTACTCGGTGCCAATGACCCCAATCCAGGAAACAAAGTCGTTCGGAGGTGTCATTGCGGGATCGAATGTGATCAGGGAATCCCCAACGCATATTGAAGAAATAGTCGTAACCCCAGTAGTCCGCATAACACGCCTTGTTGATCAAATGAGGGAAAAACTCAGAGTCCATGGGTGGGGCATCTTGTGTGCGCTGTTTGGTCACAAAGTTGGAGAGAATGGCAATGCGAGGTTTTTTCGTGGTTCCAGGTCTTTGGGGTTGATCTGTCTTGGCAATTTGGATTGGCACTATCGTTCCTGTTTTATTTCCAGCTTCGTCTTTGGCAACAGTAGTGGCTTTCAACGTCCTTCGAACATCATCCTCATTGAACCAATCCTTAAACGTGCCAGACTGATGTCGAGAAAAGGTAACATCGGATACAATGACACCGAGCAGGAAAAAACTTGCAAGTACGATGAAGACAGCCCCTCGTCTTTTTGCCATGTCTTTGGTGCTGTTGTTACAGCTTTGTGGATCATGGATCATGTGATCATGTGAAGGCTGCATCGTGACAGAGAGCGATGCGGCTACGTACTGCGAAGGACGGGCTTGGGAAGGAAATTTTTAGTCACAGAACGTTGAATTGTGGGCTGAAGTGTGGTTGGGACATCGGGACCGCTGCTGCAGCTTTTGCCAGATGCTGCGGGCTGCGGACTTCCAAATCTTTGCCAGGTGCTGGATAAGCCAGTATAGGCTGCAAAGCGCCATTGTCATCATCCACGACCATACGTAACATCTCGAGACGACAAGAGATCATAATACATGCATCTTCTACTTCGCTCTCTCGCTAATGGCATCAGTTCTCCACGATGGAAAAGACAATGTAGTTCATTTTCCAGCTGGTTTTGATTGGGAGGAAGAGGATCGTCGCTCTTGTAGGGGATCGGAGGCAAGACGAAGCAAATTGTTTGGACTTACTATCACAAGCAGACAGATTTACGACAGCGTTTAAAGAAGAACTGCCCGCAGTGGTGGTGTCGTCGGAAGAAGAGGGATAACAGCAAGCAGAGACCGATGCCAAAGATCTCTTGCGCAACGTTTGAATACTGCGGGGCCGATGCAGACCATCTGCTTTTTGCATTGGAAGATTTCTGGCAAGCTTGTTGGAGGTACCGTAGACTAGTGTGCCGCTCTTGAAAGTACCGGTACTTGTAGAAGGTAAAACTGATCTAATCAAGGTAAAGGGTACAAACAGAGTTGTTTTTTCTTTACTAGTAGTTCCGGTATCGTCCAAAGCAGCTCAGCCTGGCCTTACCGTAGAATGGAACTACGTTGCCATCATCAGTTCTATGTTTAAAATGTAACCTTCAGTGTCATCATTCTCCAGAAGCTTCTCGGCAATTGCACACGAGAAGTAGACTATCATGGAGTCATTCTCTAGGATTGAATTCATCTTGTCTATTCTACATCTCTTCTGCCCGATCTAGAACTCCGGCACCAGTTGAAGGTTCCATCCCATTTGTTGGCAGTACTCCTGCACTTGCTCTGCGGTGTATTGGGTTGGTACAGGGTCATCCCAACCAGGGTAACCCACGGCAATCATTTCTGCAAAATGCTGGCATTCAAATGGAGACTCGAAGGCCATCAAGATGTATTGTCCCCCTCCCCTGGGCCATTCTGTTGTATGGACACCTTCGTTTTCTGCGCCTGGGTTATAGACGATAACATAAACAGCTTCTGGAATGACAGAGTTCGCATTGTTAAAGGCCAACTCGAGGTACTGTTCCTCCTGCTTTTCAATGGTGCCAAGCCCAAAGAAAAGACGCGAAGACGAGGGATTGGTTGATTGCCGAACAGCGAAAGCCCGAGAAGTAGGGCTGAACGCGGCAGCGGTGGCCACAGAGAGCAGGAAGAACGTAAAGCAAACCGAAACGATCCTCACAGTAGTCATGGTGTTGGATACCATAATCAATCGACATTTATTTGGTGATGTGTGGGTCGAGGGTTGTGTGACTTGTGTTGTGGAGGATCTTCGCTTCTTCGTCGGCAAAGAGCGTGTCCATCATTGGACGCAGGTACGTCAGCGTTAAGTCCCGCCAAGACAGGCTTTTAAAACTACCGGTAACAGTAATTAAGTCAGCGGGAGCTGCGATACCTCGGCAGAAAGACAGATGGAAGAAGGAGGATTATGTTTGAGATTGCACCCTTCTTTCAAGCTAGCCCTGGCGACAACACCCGACTTCGTCGTGTGTTGCAACACCCGACTACGCCGTGTGTTGCCGCCCGCTACTCTATAGTTTACCAGCTGCCATTCCCTTATTGTAACTCTAACCTTTACAGCTCCTGCTGGCTTATTGTGCTGTTGTGCTGATTGCACCAACCTTAAATATTAATGACTTATTCCTACCCCTAACTTGTATTGAACCATCAATGTTCAGTTTTGTTGGCTTATGACTATCTCTATCCTTATACTTTGGCTTCACCGGAATAGGAAATAGGAAATAGGAAATATGATATAGGAAATAGGAAATAGCATTAAATCAGCGGGAGCTGCGATACCTCGGCAGAAAGACAGATAGAAGAAGGAGGATCATGTTCGAGATTGCACCCATCTTTCAAGCCAGCCCTGGCGACAACACCCGACTACGTCGTGTGTTGCCGCCCGGTATCATTCGTTCCCTCAGTGCAACCTTCTTTATTAAGCTAGCCCTGGCGACAACACCCGACTACGTCGTGTGTTGCCGCCCGCTACTCTATAATTTACCAGCTGCCATTTCCTTATTGTAACTCTAACCTTTACAGCTCCTGCTGGCTTATTGTGCTGTTGTGCTGATTGCACTAACCTTAAATATTAATGATTTATTCCTACCCCTAACTTGTATTGAACCATCAATGTTCAGTTTTGTTGGCTTATATGACCATCTCTATCCTTATACTTTGGCTTCACCGGAATAGGAAATAGGAAATAGGAAAAAGGAAATAGGAAATAGCATTAAAGGGGTTGAGAACTCAGGCAGTTTACCTGCCGAGGTTAAAGGGGTTGAGAACTCAGGCAGTTTACCTGCCGAGGTAAAGGGGTTGAGAACTCAGGCCAGTCTCTACCGGAGCGACTAAAGTAGCGACTAAGCCATATTTTGTAGTTTAGTCCATAGTTTAGTCTCTTGGGGTGTCTACTCAAGTGACTAAACGTCATACGGACTAAAGCCTTTAGTCGAAATGTTGGTTCACCGACTAAAGGGAGGCTGGTTTAGTCGGTGAGCGAGCGTAAGGACTAAAGATTGTTTAAGAACAGCAAATAAATCCAACAGAAAACAATACAACTGCATGCCACCGAGTTGGATAACAAAATCAGCCTCATTGCACAGCCTCACTATCAGAGCATCGCGACAGAGCTGATAGAGTAGAGGTGCAAAGGATCGAACGATCCAATGATAGTAGAGATGCAAATGATCGAACGGATCCAATGATAGTAGAGGTGCAAAGGATCGTTCGACGATCCAATGATAGTAGAGGTGCAAAGGATCGTTCGACGATCGATGATAGTAGAGGTGCAAACGATCCAATGAATGATAGTAGAGGTGCAAACGATCGTTCAACGATCGAATGATAGTAGAGGTGCAAACGATCGATCGAACGATTGAATGATACCGGTACTAGTAGTAGAGGTGCAAACGATCGATTGAACGATTGACAGAGGAGAGGTGCATTGCAATGGTGTGTTTTGAGTTTTGTTATCTCAAAAAAGTAATCACTTCAATTAAGTCTTTGTTTGAGTCCTATAAATCCACCATGCTGATAGAATATTGGTAGCCCACCAAGCGATCACTTTTGTTAAATCGTTTTTGAGTCCTTTAAGTCCAGCACCCTGCAATGGATTTAGTCGCTGGTGTTTGTTTAGTCCCACGGTAGACACCACGTTTTGACTAAAAACTCGACTAAATTGTTTAGTCCGAGATTTAGTCATCTGCTGGTACACACCACCATTACTAAAGGATAATGACTAAATCTTGAACTAAACAACCACCTAAAGGATTCCTTTAGTGGGTCCCTTAGTCGCTCCGGTTGAGACCGGCCTCAGGCAGTTTACCTGTCGAGGTAATAGGAAATAGGAAATAGCATTTAAGTCAGCGGGAGCTAGAACTCAGGCAGTTTACCTGCCGAGGTAAAGGGGGTGAGGGCTCAGGCAGATAGACTGCCGAGGTTAGTACCGGTACACAAGTACCGCCACAGATCAGATCTTAGTTCTTTAGCAAGATAGATGTGCTGATGAAGGGGCTAAGGATGTCTAGCTAGCCAGAGTACCGTAGGGATGTACTGTACCAGGTACTGTGTTGTGTTGAAAATTTCAAAAACTAGGTCTCGACCGTCTGCAGCGTGAGAGTGTGAGCATTCAGGCAAGGGAATCTTCGCCACAACCCCATGACTTCACAATTTCAGTGGTCTTCTCGAGCAAAAGCATTCGGAGTGAATAACGATTCATCAACGTGAAACAGGGCGAAAGCAACCGTCTCATTCTCGATCTTTACTGCTTGCGTTGTTGCTCCCTCAAACAGCCGAGAACGGGCGACCATGGACGAAGATCTGCAATGCATTGATTGCGATTCGACGTTTGTCTTCACGGCAGGACAGCAACATTATTTTGAGCAGAAAGGATTTACTCCACCTAAACGATGCAAAGAATGCCGTGGGAAGAAGAAGGAGCTCCATAACAACATCTCGGAGGGCTTTCGCAACAACCATGTCACAAGGATCCCGGATGGGATTGTCAAGTGCTCTTGGTGTGGCAACGCAGGCCACAGGGAACCATATTGTAACTGGAAGAAACAGGCAACTTGCAAGATGTGCGGTACGATTGGATGGCCTTCTGGTGCAGGGTTTGCAAGCGGAATTAGAACCAATTGCGTCCGCATGGCTTGTGATTGTGATCAGCGTAAAGGTGCCAACTGAAGCCATAGTTATTGATCCGAATGGGCATCAGTGATGCAGGGATGCTACTGGCTAATCTAGCGAGGAAGTGTCGCGTCATACAATCTATCCAGCCTGAAAACTATTGAGTTGTACGTCTTTCTAACTGCCGTAGGTTATGTAAAAAAAATAGTGTTCTCAGTCCTACAAGCGGCTCCGCTCACACCGCGTAGCTATCATTAGTTGGTTTCGTGAGGTTGGCCTTGTCAACGACCTGGCCCAAAAGGATTGTGAGTGACATGTCTATATCGAAATCCAACTGAAGGCATCCACACGCATTCCTTCTTCCCGTGCTGCAGAAGTCTAGTATGGTGTCGGCACTGACCGCGATGGAGGGAAGGAGACGTGCATCCACATGGAAAGACAGGCCAGCATTCCGCCAACCACCTGATTTCGTGTTATGGGCTCGTGGGAGAGCCACTTTTGGAACAAACCGGACAAGAGCACTCCAAAGATCAAAGCAAAGCCCTTTTGGACACTGCCAGCATACTTTGTCACAATTCCAACGAGCAATCCGCCAATGGCATGCGCTGCAATGGGCAGGAAGGTGACAGGTTTCCAGTGTCGCACAAGACCTTCACGATGGAGTTGTTTCCCGTCGGGGCTCCAAAGCAACGACATCATCACCAGGAGTAGAGAAGCACTGCTGAGTTCCATTCCGTACAGATAGAGGTTGCGTCGATGATGCTGTAGCACCCTTTGGCCCAATGCCGCGGCCAAACCCGAGGTTAGGTTGGCGAGCAAGAGTGGCAGCACTCCTCGCGTAAAGTGATGTGGGTCACGAGGAATTGAGTTTCGTGCGACAACAGTTTGGCTGTTTGAGGTGTAGCATCTCGCGTCTGCTGCCAGCTGATCTTGGCCATGTCCCTGGTGGACACATAGACGAAGACTGTTCTTTCGCCTGTTGGACCAAGCATTGCTGTTGTTGTCGTCGTCATGATTGACACGTGTGCCCATCCCGAGAGATTGTTGCGTGGATGGCACAGTGCATAGTGCTGCCTTTCTTCCCATGAAGAATGTGAATGGAATGACATTTTCAATGACCAAAGCAGACGTCAACAAGAGAACGAGGGAGACCATTTGGAGTGCGGATTGTCGAATCCCCAACAAGTAGAAGCAGAACCACGCCGCGCTGATTGTTTTGGTTTGATTCAAAACACTGTAGGTGACAGGAGGCAAATGCTGATAGGCCATGAGTTTGGCATAGTTTTGAATGGCGTAGAGGGTTGCTGGGATCCCTGCCAGCTGGATCCATTGTCGTACTCTCCAACTTTGCAGCATTTTCATCCGCTGTGCTGGTGACACCAAAGACACGAAACAGACAAAGCTGAGCGTAAACTTGCTGATTTCCTGTGCTACTAGAATGGAAGATCGACACAATTCACGGGGTACACATTTCTTTTGCAGAGTGGGCATGGCTCCAAACTGAAGCGCCAAAAGACCCATGGAAGTACCGGCAATGATCTGGTCGTGGGGTAGCGCATGGAGTAAGGTCGTCGTCGCCTCAGAAAAACGTCGAGGACACGCATGAGATTTTTGGATGACAATTTTGTGTTTTGGCGGAACACTGAGACTGGCAACTCTCGCCGGTATTCTACTGCTGACTGCAATGATCCCAGCTCTGGCGCGGTCAAGAGATAGGTGGGGCTGATGCGATGGCAGAGTGAAAGGGTCTGCTCTCCTGATGGAACAGGAGAACAAGAGGAGCAAGCTCGAGATGGTGGAAAGGAGATTCATAGTCCAGTTCCTTCTTTATATTTCTTTCTTTTGTGAGAGGTTTGTTTTCTTTGGTGATCCCCAGCCCATACCGGTAGCATGTGAGCCATATCAAGAAGCGAACTGGAGCTTGTGACGGATAAATAAACGGTGTCAAGAACTCCACAAAAAATGACAAGAAACACTCCCGCAAGTCAGTCGAGCTTCAGCCATGCAAACTGGGACACGGGGAAAACTCCACAATGGACACCGGTAGATCGGATCTTTCCGAAAACCCTCCTCTTCCAAAAGCGTCCTTGTCTGCTTCATGTCGATGTCGTCAATCTTTGTGCTTCTCATGCTTGTTGCTATCAGTACCACTCCACTCCATCGCAGCAGCGGCTTTCTCATTGGCCGTGTACGAATAGCGCCTCTACAAACTGGCCTAACAATAAGAAGACTCATGGCTTCCTGCTCATCCTCTTGGGTGGACATTCCACCCGATTCTGACTTTTCGTTGGCCAACATTCCGTTTGGAGTCTTTTCTGCGACACCAAGAGGTCCCAAACGATGCGCCACGGCCATTGGCAATAAGGTAGTCGACTTGTCGATTCTCCAAGAAGCGGGATGTTTGGACTCTGTCCCAGGTCTGTCGGCCAATGCCTTTTGTGGACAAGAAACACTCAACGCCTTTGTGGCGCATTCACCACCCGTGTGGAAAGAGACTCGTCAGAGACTGCAAGAGCTGTTTACCAAAACAAAAGACAATAACAGTAGGGCACTCCACGACAATACACTATTACAAAAAGCAGCCCTTCATGACATGGACTGCGTGTCTCTGCACTTGCCACTGGCTGTGGGGGATTACACTGATTTTTATTCGTCGCGGGAACACGCCACCAATGTGGGGACCATGTTCCGTGGCAAGGACAATGCCTTGCAGCCCAATTGGTTGCATTTGCCCGTCGGATATCATGGCCGATCATCGACGCTACAGGTATCGGGACATGCCGTCCGACGACCCTGTGGACAATTACTGCAAAAGGAAGATCCAAAACAGGGCAGTATCTACGGGCCCTGCCAATTGCTGGATTTTGAACTCGAAGTGGCTGCGGTAGTAGGAGGGCCTGCCAATGCGATAGGACAGGCTCTGACTATGGAACATGCCAAGAGTCGAATCTTTGGATATTGTCTCATGAATGACTGGTCTGCCAGAGACATTCAGAAATGGGAATATGTTCCACTCGGTCCCTTTACTTCCAAAAACTTTGCAACAACACTCTCTCCTTGGATTGTCACCACATTGGCACTGGAAGAAGGAGGATTTGCCTGCCCTACATCTGCTACCGAACAAACCAATCCTGTACCACTGCCGTACCTACAGGATCCCAACTATTCATCGTACGATATTCAATTGACCGTGGCAATTCAATCGGCGTCCATGTCTACCGCTACAACAATTTGTACATCCAACTTTTGTCACCTATATTGGAATCCGGCACAACAATTGGTCCACCATTCCGTCACGGGGTGTGTCATGAATCCGGGAGATTTGTTGGGCAGCGGGACCATCTCGGGAAGTACACCCAACTCGTTTGGTTCAATGCTCGAATTGAGTTGGAAAGGAAGTCGTCCCGTGCCATTGTCCGACGCGGAATCCAGAACCTTTTTGCAAGACGGAGACAAGATCATTATGAAAGGGTGGTGTCAAAAGTCCAATACTAGTGACTGTGACGACAATCCCCCACGCATTGGCTTTGGAGTGTGTGAAGCTGTCATCTTGCCAGCAACTCCCGTGACAACAGAGCCAATTAACAATCCAACAACAACAATAACCTCACAACCTCAGAAGGAACGGTACCAAAACTTTAGGCTCTACGGATACTGGAAATCTTCCTCTACTTGGAGAGTCCGCATGGCACTAGCAGCCAAGGGAATCGACTACGAGACTATTCCTGTCAATGTGTTTCAGGGCGAACAAAATGAACCGGCTTACAAGAAGAATGTCAACCCACTGGGCCAAGTGCCCGTACTGGAATTCACCGACACGCAACAACACTCCAATGACGACAACCACAAGGATGGTGTGATTCGATTGTCCCAGTCCATTGCTATAATCGAATTCTTGGATGCCGCCTTTCCGGATCGACGAGCCTTGTTTCCACAGAATGATCCTTTGAAGAAGGCCATTGCCTATCAAATGGTGGAGATCATCAATTCGGGAACTCAACCCCTCCAGAACATTCCCTTTTTGAAAGGCATTCAAGAACAATCCGAAGAGCGGGTCGTGGCCAATCATGTTGCCAAGAAAGTGATTGAAAAGGGTCTGTCGGCATTGGAAACTCTAGTGGTGAAACATCATCATGCAACAACAACGGGACAAGGACCATTCTGCTTGGGGACATTTTCGCCATCAGTGGTAGAGGCATTTCTTGTCCCACAAATGTTCAATGCAAGAGGGCAAGGAGTCGAAGTGGACAAGATTTGCCCGACTTTGGTCAAAATTGACAAGCTGTGTTCGCAACACACCTGGTTTCAAAAGTCCCATCCGGACCAGCAGCCAGATGCTGGGACCTGAGCACGTATAGCATTCAAGCCATTGAATGATCTAAGGATTCCCAAGTCATCGGTGAATAGCTGGTGGTTGGATACTGTCCGTGCTGACAGTGAACCAAACGGCTGAGCAGATGCATGCATTGTCGCTAAAATGAACCGGAGGAATCCCGAACATGGCTCCGGTTGTTGCCTTTGAGGCGGCAGACGTTTCCTAAAGTAGCTTAGCTAGAGAGTTAGACAATTATTGAAATAGCTGCGCTGCCCATGATTACGGTACAATCTCAGCAAGCACCCTGTCGCAGGTCACTGGGGCTGCCGTATCCTAGTCAGTGGTTCTTCGCCGAGAAGTTGGAAAACATTGGTTGATGAGACTTCAGAGCGGATCGCTAGCGACGCCGTTCAATGTCAGTCCGCTTCACAAGCTTCAAATAAGAACCGCTCGAAAGCTGAGGATTTTTGAGGATTTATCCTCGATCCCGCATTGGTCTTGGTCTTCTTGACCATTGAACATCATGATGGATGTGTTCCACCATCTCTCAATGCGTCTTCGTGGTGTTGCCACCCATGCATCGGTGCTACCGGTATAAGCTTTGAGGAGGCTAGAGGAAAGTTTGCTCTCCCACTGCTTTTGGTGTATATCCAAGATCCAAGGTGCGACAATCTGCCAAACTTCCGAGTCTTCTACGTTACCGATCTTTCTCTCTACCGGTACAGGATCAGGATTCGTTCAGTTTGGTTGTCCGCTTTTTGCTTCGATCGGTTGGGTGATTCGACTCGATCACAACTCAGACTAGTACCCCATTGAATGATTCTTCGCAAGTTGCGATCTCTTCTTCCCACCAACATGGCAATTATTGACGAGAAACCTGTCAAATTCTTCTGGTCCCATTTACCCAGCCACAAACATGTCAAAGAAAAGCCTGGAGTCATCAAGCTGAAGGTGCCACCAAAAACTCATGTGTGGGAAAATACAGAAGAAGATGGCTCCTCTATCAACAATAGTCCATTTTACTTCCGCAAAGTTCGGGGTGACTTTGAAGCCACCGTCAAAGTCTCTGCCAAAATGGATACATGGTTGGACCAATGTGGGATCCTCCTGGAAGAAGCACGTGGAATCTATAGCAAAGTCTCATTGGAATACCATGAACCGCCAGGGGATGATGATGATGATGATGGTGCTTTGAGGCATTATGCTTGTTGCTTTGTTCATCCGGAAGAATTTCAGTCCGAGCGGTCTACGACGCCCTACCCGGGACAGTTTCATCTTGGAGATCCAAGATATAGCCACAAATTGGTGGATACCGTTAGTGGTGGAATCAGCAGCCATAAGATATTATGGCTCAAGCTGGCTCGCTTGGAAGGATACATTGAAGCCAACTACAGCCTCGATGGTAAAGAGTGGCACAAGCTCAAGGCTGCAAGATTCTCCGAAGCAGAAACTCTAAGAATTGGTATCTTTGGTGCTTCTCCAGGAGGGGGCGAGGGTTTCAAGTGCTCCTTTACGAATTGGGAAGTGGTGGAGGATGACGACTTTAGTGATGCTGATGATATGGAAGAAGTTGATCCCAAGGATTCCGCTGCTCCCAGCGAAGGCCCACAGGGAGACTCTGACGGTGATTTTTCAGATTGAGCCCATGTAGAATTCTTCGGCAAGGTGTCAACACTGATGTGGCTGCCACAGGTTGTCAGCACTGTAGACTACCTACAACATCTCTCTCGGAGATCCACTTGGATTCTCATGTGTTTCTAAATTATAAAATTGCCAAGGCAAGCATTGATTGAATATTGCATGTCTTCGGCTAGTTTGGTATTGCGTGGCCTGCGGATTGCGATGTATGTACGACTGTACAACAGAAAAAGGAGTGTGTTGATCATTTGCCAAAACTGACCATTTGCTACTGCCAGGAGCGTTTTCGTAAGGTACTTTTTGTGTCTGGTAGCTGATCTTTCTTTCCTACCGCCACCGCCCAACTCGTTGCCACCAGTCCAACTGTCCACTCATATTAACTTTGGGTTTTTCTTCTTCTTGACCTTCCGTTTCCTCGCTTTTCCGTTCCAACTTGAGCACTTCTTCCTCTGTCTCGGGCAACGCCGGGCTGATTGGATATTTGTTGCTGACAAAACTGTGATTGTTGACAATGAATCCCACGGCTTGTCGATGGACAATGAGCTCCCACCGAGCTGTCTTGGCTTGCTCTCGGTACAAATTGTACTGTTGGGCGTGTTTCAGTACCGCCGGTGATGACAGCGAATGATTTTGTTGATCGATCAAGGCGTGATACTGATCCAACTCTTGTTGCATGCTGCGAAGTGCCCGAAGGATTTTGTCTCCCTGTTTGCCCAGGGCTTTTCCCATGGTTCCTCTAATTTCATCCTCAATAGTTTTAATGTGCATGGAAGGGTCGTGGACATCTCGAATGTGTTCGAGGTACTTGTTGGTCACATCCACATTCTTGACCATCTTGGCCGAACGCTCCCAAGAATGAGAGTGTTTCGAAGGGCCGGTGATCGACGGAGTCGATGAAGATGACAAAGCATATCGGCCGAGAATCTTGTTGTGATGTACAAGCGCCCTCTTGGCGTGGCTTGTAACCTTTCCTCTTATCATCTGTGGAGCTGTCGTCATGGCGGACATCGAAAGGGCTTTGGGCTTTTGCCCTTACTTGTGGTTCCATAGTATCTTGTGTCCAAGACGATCAGAATAAGGCAGTTGAGCGGCTGAGTCAGAGTCATTCCCGAACTTAGTCATGGACGTTTGTTTTGATTAACCGTAAAATTCGAAATATTTAGCCTCGTCCTCGAATCCGAAACTCTGCTTCCACTTCTGCACACGATCATCATTCTCGACCATGGCGTCTCCAAACACCGGAACGAAGCGGGTGTTTGCATCGTCGTCCAACGACAAGGAAAACAATCAGTCGCACAAGCTGATCAAGTGGAATCCAGAGAACAAACCGCCTCCCGAGTTTCCAGCGGCCAAGTTCAAGTGGAGAGGCAATCCCGAGGAAACCTACAGCGACTGGACCATTGAAATCGTTTGCAACTCGGAGAAGGAAGAGACAGAAACCTATCATGCCCACAAGTTCGTCCTAGGATACGGACCCCGAAGTTCGGGATACTTTGCAAAGCTCTTTCAGCATGGACATGCACTCAAGGAATCCGAGTCCAAGAAAAGTCGAATCGAGCTAGAACCCATCGCAGCACAAGCATTCCCATTGATGCTGGATTTCATTTACTCGCCAGAGAACACGCTCTTTGTTGACACTCCAAGTGCCACCGCTCTGCACTTTCTCGGAGAATACTTTGAGATACATGCATTGCGTTGGTATGTCATGAAGTACTGCCAAAAGGACATGACAATGGAGAACGTCATGACGTACCACGAACATGCCTCGATTTTATCGGACAAGGCCGTGCTGGACCTAGTCGCCGAGTTTCTAGCCAAGAACATTTCAAAAGTTTACCCCGAATCGACTATCCTGGAACAGCTTCAACTTTCCGTGTTTGTCGAAATGGTCAAGGCACTCCCCAGTGGAATCGTAAGCAGCCAGCGGAACTCCCAACGACTCTCCAGACTAGTAGCCGCCAAAATGACGACAATTCACAAGGAATCGACACACAACATAAAGGACGTGTACCCGGACTTTCAGACAATCACGCATGCCAGTAAAATGCCCACTGTACATCCATCGGTCGCATTGCAATTGTGCCAATTGGAAGATCAATTTCAACAACGTGTGGGCAATGCCCACGAAGTCACGTCGCTTCACAAACGGTGCATCGCGGCGTTGTCGGAAATCAATTCAAGATATTTCTTGGAAAACACTGACGACAAGGACGAAGAGCGGCTGCTCCAACAAAAGCCTCAGGTCCTGGTAAATTTGATCCACCAGCTTGTAGCATCCCGCAAGGACACCAGGGACAAGGTTGACGACCTACAGCAACGGCTTCACGAGGCAACCGAGGAACTTGAAGAAACTGAGGGGGAACGAGACTACGCAGAGCAAGCACAGGAGGAAGCCGAGGCGGAAGTAGCTTCGGCCGAACAAGAAACGGAAGAGGCTCAGAAAGAACTGGTAGCTGTCAAGGAAGAATTGCGAACACTCCGGGTGTTCATCAAGCGTCTTCGTCCTTTGCCACAGAACGAGGAAAAAGAGAACTTGACACTACCTGATGTTATCTGCAAGCACAACCCTCAACTAGCCAACCTGTCGGCGACTCAGCTACAGGATAGTGAGTTCCCTATTTTCTACTACGACCACACCGCTGATGTGGACGACGATGAAGAAGAAGGAGACGCGGAGGAAGACCCCGCCCATGCTGCCCGTCGAGTCGCGATTCCGGCACCCCTTAGTCCGCACGGGATTCTTGCGTTGCAAGCAGTACTGCTTGATCGGTATCAACGTGCTTTTAAAATGCTCACTGGCCAGCTACAAGCCTTGTTGTGCCCTAAGTCGTACGAGACCTAAAAGCTTTGTCTCCTAGTCTCTCAGCATAATATGGACCGAATAATTCGATCGAATCGAATCGTTCTGCCAATAGTAGCGTGCACCCGAGGCACCCACGGACTAATCATAATAGATAAAATTGAAAAATGATGTAGATTGAACTTGGGTCAGCACGCGAAAGCTCTGAAGCATGAACAGAAAACACATCTACGTATTCAAAGTCGTAACGTAAACATACATAGCCAACCAAAAACCACGAGCAAAAAAATCTTCTTCCATTGAATCGAATCGCTTTTGCTGATTGTTAACGTATCACACCTCACGAATGCTTTCTTGCATGCACTTATTCGAGTCCTGTACAATTGTTTGGTTTGTGGTTGCGCCAACCAAAGCTGCTTGGTTGTGGCTGGCAAGGAGTTTCAATCCGCACTACCAAAACGCCGTCTTGAGCAGATTGCTGAATGAATCATTGAATTGAATTGAATTCTACCCCTCTGCAAGTACCGCGGGTGCGGGGTTTGCCGCAATTTCGGTCGATGCCGGATCCTCTGCAACGTCCGTGGATGCAGGACTGTCCGTGGTCTCTGCTTCCGTGTCAGTGTCGTTGTCTCCTGAATCTTCCGAAATCACAGATACATCCGTTTTCCGATCCTTTTTCTTGCTGCTCTTGCTCTTTTTCTTTTCCTTCTTTCGTCGACTGCTGCTGTCATCTAAAGTTTTTGGTTCCTCCTCTTCGTCGTCGTCATCATTGGAGTTTTTGCTGTCGTCCACCAAAAGACTCTCATCAGCCCTTGTCAGTACCGGTGCGGATGCAAAGATTGCCGGTTGCGTGGCCCTTCTGGATCGAGGATTTTGTTGTTCCGGAACAGAATCATCCCCCACGGTATCCTCTAGTTGTTTGATTTTCTCTTCTTTTTGTTTGGTTTTCTTCTTCTCTTCATCCTCCTCATTGTTTCCAGTTGTTTCCGATGTATCGGGCATTCCCTCCTTGACTTTTTTCAGGAGTTCACTATCGGTATTGTTTTTCCGTGGAGTCCGATGCCGTTCGCTGTGTCGTCGTTGCTTGGTGCGTCGAACTCCTCTTCTCCCAGTCGCACCACCCGCATTCGGAATGGGCTTTGTGACATTTTCTGCCAACTCTGCCGAAGCAGCTGCGACTTTGTTCTTGGCGAGGGCGGATGGAAGCGGCGGCGGTGGTGGGGGCGGCGGTGGTTCTACGTATTCGTCGTCCGGTCCTGGAACGGGATAGTAATTGGCAAAATCGCCATCCATGGCGTCCAGAATGGGTTCCAGTACTCGTTTCTTGGGATATCGTTTTCTGACTTTGTATAGAATGTTGATGCAGGCATTTCGGTAGAGAATTCCTGATTTTTTGCATTCGTATTGCTGCCTCGCAATTTTGTCAATACTGTCTTGCCATTTTTTAATGTTTGGTTCGTACTGGTCATGGTTGTATTGGTATTTGCGATGATTGGATTCCAAGTTAGCCACTTTGTATTTGCTCATTTCGACAGCCGGCGCCTTTTCCTTGAGATCGTATCCCAATTGTTTGTTTGTTTTCTTGAGCGATTTGATTCCACTTCTCATGCGTTCATTGGACGATTTGAGCTGTCGAACTTCGCGTTGCATCTCTTTGATTTCCTTCAATTGTCTCCCAATTGCCGAGACTTCTTCGGGAGGCACGGTTCCGTCTTCTCGTTCGGCTTGGACCTCCAGTTTGGCCTCTTGGTACATGTCTTCCTTTTCCCATTCCAGCCGTTCCAAGTCCAATCGCAAGCTCTCGTCGACATAGTCGAGTTCATCGTAAATCTCCGCACGTCGATCGTTGGTCAAGATCCAACACAGCATGAATTTGCGAGCAAATTTCTGCAAGACTCGCGCGGCCGAGTCCAGCTTCTTGTTGGAGACTTCACGCCAGACTTGACGAAAGTTCTCCTGTTCCAACTCGTTGGCCAAGTTCACATTGAACGTGATGGGCGTGCTCAAGCGAGGAGGCTCATCGGCAATCAAGCCTTCTTTGAAGACAATGTTGCGCTTTGGTTTGGGAGGAGCACCTTCCTGCTTCAAAATGCCCTTGGGCATCACAGGTACAACCGGCGTGATGGCGGACGTTCGGACCATGATGACTCAACTGACTGTTTTTCCTTTCTCACTTCACACTGGACTGGATCTACTACTGATTGACGATGGTTGAGTAGCTTACTTGCTCACTTCACTGAATGATATGGCACAAATACAGTGATCTGTATGCAATGGTATTATGGTGCTATGCAGTTCAAAGATAGCAAACCGCGTAGCCGAGCGATGTTTGCATGGGATCTGTTGATGCTGTGCTTCTTTGCCTTTTGGGTTCGCTCGATTGTCCAAGATCCAAAGCAGCTGCCAATTGCCAATAAAGCCTGCGAGGGCAATAATGACCCACGTGAACCTTTAAATGCAGAAATTCTTTCTGTGACTACGTTTAAATCCTAACTTGTAAAGGGCACACACCTGTTTGCTCTAATGATGACCTTCAGAGCTGCTTCACAGCTCCTGCATCACTCCTTCGCGTGCGCCACAAAAAGGTGTCGGTACAGCTATCGGTACCGGACATGAACAAGAGTTCAGAGAGAGGATAAGGCTAGACTAGGTAGTCAAGATCTATCTCGTATCGGTACCAGTTTGTTCATATGTGTCCCCGCCAGTTGCTTTCGTACCGTACAATGGTACCAATCAATAAAGCCACCTGCAGGAGCTTGCTTGCAAGGTTCCATCGTTCTCCTTTGGTTGGCTGCGTGCAAACGGTAGCCTGGTCGCTCCTCAAGTGTTTTGGCTGGGTTATTTGACTAGATGGTACAGCGGAAAGGTGCATGTAAATCTATTCGGAGCTGAACTGGTACATGAGTGAGGGCACGGGCAACTGAATACATGTATGTAATCCATTTCTTCTTCCGTAGCTATCATCATGCTCACTTCTTGTTCCTTTTGCATGCAGTGCTTGGCTAGGAGTTGGAAAAGCCCCACCAGTTCAATGCACATAATCTCAGCTTTGATTTGAGTTCTTCAACGATGTGTTGTCCTCCCCCGTTTCACAGTTTTCTACTCCCTGCAAGTATTCTACTATAGCTAGTAGTACACCCTGGCAACCACCTTCACACGGTCTGCTGTGTTTGGCGACCGAGGATCAGCCAGTCTAGATTGGCGTTCACCAGGTTTTCCCCACTTCCTTTTGGCTTTAGGAGCTCTACGATTGTAGGCCACGCCATTCCTGTTTGTGCAACATTCACGTCGGATCATGGATCTTCGGAAGCTTGTGCGACATCACGTTGGATCGTTGCATCTTGTAAAGGCTGCTTTTGTTGAAACGCACCCGACGAGCCATCTTCTTGGCCCTTTGTCGGGACGACCTCTTCAAACGGCGGCAAAAAGTCGCCAGAAACGTCTTTGCGGAGAGAGGAGGAAGACGCAACCCCGCGGCCTCCTCGATGGTTGTTGTTGTTCTCAAAGAAACCACTCTTGGCCAGGACCATAAAGTCACTCGAGTTGGACTTTGGAAAGGATCGAGACTCGGATCCTGCTCGTACATTGCGCCTCGACATTTGACGAATCGACATGGCAATGGACCGACTTTGTTCGGTTTCGCTCATGAGTGAGAATCGACTCTGCATTCTCATTTTGGGGACAAAAATAAAGCCCAGCAGAATCATGGAAAGGGCGAAAATGACAAAGGTCATTACCAGATAGAACGGAACTGGCATTTCCCGTACCACTGCCAAGACGGGGATCCCCGTCAAGAAGGTTTGCAGCATGGATGCCAGAGACATGCCAATGGCTCTGGCTTCGGAGAATTGTGGTGAAATATCGCGAGCCTGAAAGGCTTGCCAACAGGTAATGGCGACCACCAGAAAGTTAAAGGCCAACAGAGGAGTCAGAAAGGCCAGTGGATTGTTGGATCTGCAAGCTCCGTAGGACTCGAATTCACGATTCCAAAAGTCGGTACCCGAGTGGAATTGTCGTGTATATGTTAAGGGATCCAGCACAGTCCAACACACCAGGGCAATGACATTGCAGAGGAATAGTACGGCAAAGGGTGCCAGGACATCCACATATGTCACTTTGACTTGTTCGTGGCTTTTTCTTGGATTGAGCAAACGATTGATACGCCATGTCTTGCTGTTGCGGTATGGATGGATGGATGGATTAGAGGACGAATGGCGATTGGATGAGATCATTTGAGCAATGCACATCGGAAAGACAAAGTCTACCTCAACGCACCTGAACAATGCCGAGAAGGTGAGGGTGAACCCCCCAAAGGCCAACCAAGGAATACTCATGCACACGGCTACTGTATGAATGGGACTGGGGTCTTGTTGTTCCTGCATCACATCAGCATCGTCACTGTCCTCTTCTTCTTGGGGCACATTGTTTTGCTGGGGATCAATGAGTCCTTCGTCATCAAACGATAAAGGACTCAATGTACTGGCCAGGATCATGACACCCAGGGCAATGGCCAGGAGGAACCAGGGTTGGGACATGCGCAGCAGAGGTGTCTTCCAGTAATAGACAGTCCATCCCATGCAACCCAATGCTGCCAATGTGACTACGACAAAACAGGAGATTCCAATGTACCGCAGTGGCCCCAACAAGTTTTGCTCCAATTCCAGTGGAGGCAGGGTGACGGGTATCAGATTATAGGCCACAACATTGGTGGTGATGATAATGTCCGCTTCGATCACTTCCCCTTTTTGTTGTCGCAATAGTATGTCACGCAGGACATCGACCGCTTGAAATCCCCATTCGTAGGGAAGTTGACCGACCAATCCATCCACGTATCGTTGATGGAGATAATCCAATTGATAATCGGCACCGTCGACGCCAATGGTGGTAATGTTGTGTTGTCGATTATGGTCAATAAACCAGGTCCAATTGGGTTGTCGCATGGGCGACTGAATCATGGCGACGACGGCGGTGGGTCGTAGTTCCTGAACTTTGTGTTGAAATTCGTAATTCCATCGATAGCGACTGGAATTGTGTTGGACATGAGCGGCAAAGTGTCGACCCACTTCGGTCCAATGCGCTCGATCGGGTCGATGATTGAATTTGGTGATTTCTTGCAAGAATCCCTGTAATCGATCATTGCTGCGTCGTCCCATGAAACAAAACGTCCCCCCTTCCGGTCTTAACTGTCGTAGTAATCGTGCCATGGTTTGTCCCAAAAAGAATTGATTGGTCCCAATGTAGGCACTACGAGGTGCCTCTGGGACATCCCCATCAATGAATACCACGGGAACCTGTGCCTCGTGAGCTTCTTGGACCAAAGTGGTGGTAAAAGTGTCATTGCAAAAGGGATTCATAATGATTCCATCAATACTGCGTCGCTGCAGTGCATCTCGAAGAATGGCTGCTTTTTCCTCGCACGAGTCTTGTGTGACGGGATGATAGTGCGAGAGATGTGACTCGATGATGGGAGTGATACTCTCGTAGACAACGCCGGCATATTCAAACTGCACATCTTCGTGATAGTCGAGACATCGTTTCAGGAATCCTTGTGCCACGGGTTCAAAAAAGGCAGAACCACCATTGATCAGGAGCAACCGAAAGCGGTCCGAAGAGTACGTAATGGTTGACTCGGCATTGCCAGAGTTGCCCACGTTCACATTGATGGTGGCGGCAGAACTCAACGAAGTCGAAAGGATGGTGACAGCCGCCAGGAGAAGAAAATGTCTCCTCCTGTGCTGACAGAATATCATCGTGAGGAGTGAGGAGAGAGGCTGAGATCAATAGGAATGCAATGAGTGTACCGGTACTAGTAAGCTGATGTTGAAGAAGAGGGACAGGGACACAATTACTAAAGTCTACAGTACTAGACTAGCTAGCTACACGTATAATGACAAAATACGATATACGGTATACGCGTGTACAGTATGCCGTTTGCTTTTAGTCATATACGGCACTCAGGTTTTTAAGTTCCGATCTTGCTTTCGATCTGTGTCATGTTTAGAATTAGACTCAAAGATTTAGTGCAACGCCAAGAGATTTAACTTTCACCTTTGAATCCAACCACACCTCCTGTCGATCCAAAGCAACCACAACAATAAGCAATGATCGAAACATCGAAACATCATGTGAAGATGGCGCTTGCTTTTGCCGCGGCTTTTAGGTGAACCACAACATGTCGGGCTCGGCAAGTCCATTCAGATGCCTTGGGGATGCATGTTGTTGTAGGGGAAAGCCAGACTCGCAAGCTAACACGACAATCAACACACCCCAATTTGTCATTTTGATCCATTGATTGCCACCATCGATCGTGATCCTCCATTGCTCTGCTCCACCGCTTCTCAGGCAGCATGGCGGAGTCCGACGAAGCCCGTCTTCTCAAGGAGGCCCTGAAAGTGAGATTGCTGCTTCCCAACTTTAACAGATCAAAAGCTCTCTATTCTGTTGGAATGCGGGTCGAGCAAGCAACTGCAACCGAATCGACTGAAAGCCTTGGACGTTTAATGAGATCGTATGCTCTGAAACATGGGGCGCCAAATGTATCTACCAATGAAGACGCCATGGTCAGTCGAGCAGTGCAGCTTCTTTCTGTCATGAAGCGCCATCCAGACAATATCATCAAGAATCCGGTTGCCCCACTCGTTGGAATTACTCTGGTGGACGCAATGCTGCTTGTTGGGTTTCCACCAAAGAGCCAACAGGCATTGCAATGAGAGCACAGTATCAGAAATGCTTGCGAGAAAACAGAATAGAAAAGGAGGCAATGACAAAGTCAAAGCGAAACCGACCACGTCACCTGTGAGCACATATCGGAATTGATGAGCAACAAGTTTCGCAGTCCTCTCCATTGACACAGAGATCTCAAACCGCAGCAGCTTCAAATTCTAGCACTCCACGCAATGAGAATCCCGACGACGCAATGGTCACATCGCCGTTACCGCCAACGCCATCGTCAGCAAGGCGAGGCTCTCCAATGGATGAATCCCCGAGTGGATCACCCTCTTTGTTGGAGACTCCTCGCACCCAACCAGTTCCAAGGCGACTGCTGCCAGCCGTACAAGATGACCCACTGGATGATAGCATGTTCTTCTGGATCTCCCCGTATCCACTTGAAGAGATGCCATCTTTTGGAGGCGCGGCTTCTGTTAGCACGAGTAGCAGCAAGTCATCTCTGGTGGTCGCACAACAAAAGCAAATCAAGCTTTCAGCTGTTGCAAATTTGATGACACGAAGAATCGAAGCGGCTCATGCAGATAACAAAGAGAGTGAAATGCTCAAGTCGATTCGCAGTGAAGTGTTCAAAGCGATGACTGTCCTGTGGGATGGCGTCTCCTCTGGCCGAAATACTCTCACCGTCTTCGACAGCCCAGAAAAGATTGCATCAACCTTTGCAGCAATTTGTGGAATCGAACTCTATAGTGGAAATGAGATTCGTTCTGCCGTCAAAAGAAGAGATGCCGGCAAGTCTCCAGTTCGTCGTGGGCGACCAAGTACAATCCCGATGATGTCTTTGAAGCCTTTTGCTCTGCCGTCTTTACTTATTCTGCCATTCAACAAGTTAACGCTGAAACCCGTGATCACAGACGAGACATCCAAACAATGTTGGCTCTGTTCTCAATGCAAAAAGACAGGCAGATGGGCTGATCCTATGGGCGAGATAAACTTCTTTCGTCGCATCGAACAGCACAACTCCACGAGACAGTCCTTTTCATTCGCAAGATCCAAGAGAGGCCTGCGTTTCAATGGTGACATTCAGTGTCAGAAGGCCTTATCCAAGATGGGAGGGGCTGTTGAGCTGGATTTGCGAGGTTTCCGTTATTCAGAGGAGAAATATATCCGGCCACACATTTTTTTATGTTTATTTGAATTGTTTTATCAGTGTTGTTTATGTTCCATGCATGAATACACTCTTGATTGCATAGGTCAGGCAAGACGAGTCCTTCAGCTCGACGAGATGGGCTTTTCAATGGACGCATCTATTAGAGGAGGCGGTACGACCATCGCATGTGACCAACAGCAGCAGTCTCCCTGAGAGTGGCAGTTCGGCTCCAAAAGGAGGAGCAAAAGTGACCATTATCCATGGCATCACTTCGGCCGTATGAGGTCTTTCCACCTTACGTCCAGTTTCCATCGAAAGCAGAAAAAGCAATTCAAGCATCAATCAATGCTGGATGGGTTTCGGCCAGGCGATTTGGTACCAGTCGCGACATTCTTTGACGTTGGCTTTCGGAATGATCCAAAAGGTGGAATGGATCCGAGGTTTAAAGTACTTGGTTCATTCATTTGCGAGCTGATACCCTGACTGCAAGATGTGCCATGTTGGAGTCCTGATTAAAGAGATAGCGGGCCTGGCCGCACATCTTGAAATGCTTGGAATTTGCGTGCAAGAGGGATCTATCTGTTCCCAGGCCTTCCAAATGGAACTGAATTTCAAGAGATGGATAATTTGTATTCCTATGCAAAGACGCTCTGTTTTCGCAACAGAGATCTCTTGATTCGAGAGAGGACTCGGATTGACGGTGCCGCGTTCACCTCGTTGAGTTACAATGATATTGGTTTCATTATGTTTGGAGGGCAAGTGCAATTGAATGAGACGGAAAGTGTTGAGCTACAATCTGCCTTTGATCTTGCTTTTGATGAGCCCCACATCCGTCGAGCAAGAGAGAAGTGTGGTATCTTCCAGAGTACAGAGCTGCTCTTGAAGCATCCCAAAAGTGAGACACGACGGTCCTGTCCGACGCACATCGACGAACGAGCGGACTATGATCCTCCGGGCTATTAGTGATGCTATTAGCCCGGAGAAAGCAAACCATGACATGCTGTGCTCTCCTTCACAGCAAAGGATACGTGTTGGCAGAAGACAAGCTGAAGCTCTCCGTGCGTCGTGTCACTGCGTCCCAAACAGCAGGTCGGCAAGAGGCTCGAACAGAGCCAAATACAAGAGCCCGACAAGACGTTATTGAGAAAGTCTCGACAGCTGGACAGTGGTTTCATGTCACAAATGGTGGTGGTCCAATGAATAGCAACGATGCTCTGATTGCTTGGGCTCGGAAAGAGAATGAGAAAGGAAGCCGTCATGCTTGAAAAGGAGAGACAATCGAGGCTGGAATATGAAGAAATGAAAGGCAGCTCTTGTTCTTTCGAGCGCATCTGAAGAAGGCGATGGCTCGCCTTCACAGCGCAATCATGGAAAAAGACATGGACAAATGACATGCTTCGTGCCGTTATCCAGTGGAAACAAGGGCCGCTTCCTTTGGAGCCCAACAACGAAAAGGTTAAGACCAAACCAAAGCAATATTTAATTGGTCTCTATGAGAAGAAGTATCAGGCAGTGAACGTTGAAGAAGGGGTGAATGGATGGACTCCGGATAGACAAGAGCAACTTGATCGGTTGAAACAGGAGAGGTGACAGACCTAGTCAATGATACAGAGCTCAAGCGGGCGTTTGAGCGAGAGGAAGAGTTCCTCGTGACAAGACTTCTTGCTTTGGATTCAACTCGACGGAAGAGCATCCTTGCTCGAGTCATGCAACAAGTTTCTTCCGAGGAACGTGACTTTGTGTTCCTTGATCTATTGGACGATGCTGCAGGAGACGGAGACGAAGATTCAATGTCAAGTGCTTTGAGTTTCTAGTAGTAGGCAGTTCACAACAATATAATTTCTATAAGGATTTAAGCTATGATTCGATTCGTTTCCTATTTCTGCCTCATTGCTCAATTGCGTCCGAGTACCACAGTTTCAAATTGTCCGAAGAAAAGTCTTCCTTGGTCTTGTCTTTCGTCTCGAGGGCACACCACCTGAATGCTCCTCAATCCATTAGGATCCGTGATGCCAACAAAATCTAGAAGCATGCCCCGGCCACTGCTGTTGACACTTTGGAGACGACGGATGGTGATTGTTGCTTCAGTTAAAGGGAGTCCAATCTCGAAAGAAACTGGCTGCCAACAATGATCTCGTTGTTCTCAGCTGGGACTCCACCGGGTGGCAAGAGATTTCCATCGACTTTCAATCGATGCTGGTGGTATCAGAGGGCGTTGTTGCCCAATATCGCACGTGTGAGCAAAGGGGCAACAGCAACTTGAAAAGAAAAGCTTCCCTGGACCGCATTTCCGATCCATTGCGATAGACAACGTGCAGACTGCCTCGAGCCGTCGCCTCTGCTGCCTGGTTTGGAGCTGGGTATGGGATAGTTTGGAATATCATTGTCGGCAGTGTAGTTGAATTTAACAGTGCGATCTTCCAAGCTGATCTACCACAGCAGTGTAAATCGCATCTTTCTTGATCGCGAACGTTCGGAAGAGGCAGTGTCGACACAAGATCGTTAACACAAGAGAAACTGGTGGCACATGTCCGGTTGGAGCAAGCTCCACCCCATTCCCAGAACAATCCTTTAAGAAAGAATTCGATTTGGTACCTCTACTGGCAGTGCCGGTGTTGTAAAGATAGGTCTGCCAACGGGAAAGAATATTCGGATACTCCGTTGCTCTTGTATCAACGGAGAGGTTCGATTGTTTGGTTCGATTCGAAGCTCATTATCCAGAGATCAAAGCTCATTATCCGGAGATTTTGCTTTCAGTTGTTAAGGAAAAGCAGTCAGGTCAAGATGGTGTTCAAGCTAGCAATCCATTCATTCTCTCGGTCTGCCATGGGTATGCGTATTGTTGACATGACACAGGAGGCGTTCTTGGAGGAGATGGCCGAAGCCCTCGATCGTGCAGGCAGAGGACGAGACGGTTGCCTTTCTCCACGGTGGTTCTCCATTTGCGAGATTTCCAATCCATGTTCAAGAGATGGTTCGTGAGCGTCCAGGTTAGTCCATGACACTGCTTTGTGCTTTGTGCAATGCTGGTGGCACTTCTTGCTCACTTCTGCCTCTCTCAGGATCGACCCTTCAGGTGGAGGGTGGAACCTATCGGATCAAAAACCTCCTAACCGGAAACAGGTGGTTGTTGTTGTTGCTGCTGGTTTGCCCGGATTGTTTGGTACTGGTGTGGACAATCCTCCTTTGGTTGATCTGCCGGTTCCCATTGTGGTTGCTCCTGCTGCAGCTGTCGAAGCTGTCGCCGCCAACCTTCGAGCCAACCATCGAGCTCGAGCCTCCGCTCCAGTCCTCGCCGCTCCTGCTCCAGTCGCCTCCGCTCCTGCCGCCGCAGTTCCTCCTCACCTTCGCCGTGGAGGAATGGACTCAGATGATGATGACTTTGAAGAGATCCGCGTCATGATCAACAACCCTCCTCGACGCAGCCGTCGTGGACGCAACAATCGAAACAATAATCGTCGTGAATCGGATGGATCGGACACTCCAGTTGTCGATGTCTCTGGTTGGGGTATGACACAAGAGTTCTAGTCGCCATGGTGCCGAAACCAAGAAGGCAAGAACGACAGCGCTGTTGTGGCAGTCAGTGCTTGCTGTTATCCTTCCCAGCATGGCGTTGTTGTCAGCGTTGTTGCCAAGCTGTTGCCATCTGAGTGTGTCTGCTGGTCTCTGCAGCACCTGGTGTACTAAAAATCCTATAGTAAAATGGTGGCCGCTTCCCAGAAGAGCCGATTCAATTTGAACTAAAGTGCTATGCAATATACGCGTATTTTGAAAAAAATCGTATTTTGGGTTTAAACGTGTAGTACTTGCTTGTAAACGCTCCCATTTCCATGTTTTATGTGCCAGTTGCTTTCGTGGCAATAAAAATCCAAGAGAGTTAGGTTATTAATAACTTTAAAGATTTATGAAAGGATTCACAAGTGAAGGTGACTTAATTACTATAAGTGGTACCATTTTTGGCTGTAAACATTATAGACGAATGAGGAGGGTCATCCGTCATCCATCGAAAGTCTTTTGGCTTCAACCCTTCCAACAACAACACCGGAACAAGTATCATACTACACCAAAACAAACAGAAAGACAATGGTGAAGAAGAGAAAAGATGTCCATCGGGAGACGGGAAAGCAGAATACAAACGATGGACATGCAGAGACAAAAACCTTCATCCAAAGATACGATCCCCGTCGTTCCGTTTGGACTCCAAAGGGTCGAGAGGCATTGATTCTACTGATTCTGGGCGGCATCATGGCAGTCTGTTATCATGTCGCTGCCCATCGCGTACTACTCCCCACCACCAAGAACAATCTTGACGACAACAAAGTTCCTGCAGCGCCAGCACTACCGATAGTACAAACAGATGACAACACGAAAAAGGAACGACCGGTAGTGCCAAAATTGGGACAATCCACTTTCAAAGACGGCCAGGCTCTGCAACGGTTCTTTCAACAGTACGCTACCAAAAACAATAATGATGGAGCTGGATTCATCAACGTGGCCGAGCTAAAGATGGACGATATCACGCAATTACGCCAACTGGCCAAGGACATTATGAATCGTGACATGGAGTGCGGCAGTCCCACGGTCAATAACAAGACAATAGCCGACAAGAGCAAGACGGGACTGGAGTATTGCTTTTGGCCCTCGAAAGATTTGGTGTCACGAGAAGCACTCAAAAATTTTCGTTTTGAACAATTCGATTGGAATTGGGTCATTACATCCTTCCAAGATCCCGTCGTCGTACGGCACCAACGGTGTTTGGCATTTCTAGATGCCGGAGTCAATATTGGAGATTGGGCGTCTCCCATTATTGCCTCTCTTCCGAATGTCACATATATTGGAATTGAGGGATCTCCGCCCACGGCATCGCTAGCGGCCGCCAATATGTTGACATCGGTGCAATATCACAAACTGAATAATGCCAAACAATATATCGCACCCGCCGTCGTGGTACCCTTTGCCGTCATGGGCCACAACAACTTTCAAGCCGCCAAAACGGCCGGTGGGGTCTGCTTTTCCCATGCCGACGGGGGGAACAACGGAGGACGAGAAGTCACCAAAACGACGCAATGCAAACCCAACGCCGCGGCCGGGGCCATTTACTTTCCCAGTATGTTAAAAGACGTACGGACCCAATTCCAGTCGGATTGTTTTGGCAGTAGCAGTCCCTGGCCTGCCATTTACATTGCCAAATTTGACATTCAAGGATTCGAATTCCGAACCTTGGCCGGTGCCATGGAATACCTGGAACGCAAGCCACCCTGTTTTATCCACTTGGAAATCACCAAATCGGCGCGACAAAACTACGCACTCTTTGAATTACTGGTCGATGTCGGATACAATGCCTTGTGGCGGAATACCGATAACTGGGCACAATCCATCTATGAACAACCTCCCAAGGATCCTCCCTATTGGACCGCCTCCAAAAGTATCGAGCCCTTGTGGAAAGTCTTTGAAAAGGATTTTGAAAATCGAATGGATTGGTTCTACAAAAACTACATTTTTGGGTTTGAAGATCGAGAAGCCTGTATTCGACGATTGTTGGCTTGAAAAAAGAATGATAAGAGAAAGAAATGTTGGCGCTTAGTGTTGGTTGCATGTATGTGAGCTAGATCTCTTCTTGTCTTCTGGGCTAGCTGGTTCGTTGTGTAAACTAGCAATGGCCGCTTATTAATGGGGTAATGGTGGAGTTGTAATGACGCTCTTGCTGGGAATTGTCTGCTGTACATCATGGAAAACTCTGAAGCCAGGGAAAGCTCTCTCTTGCAGTGCTGATGAGTACAACTGTACCGCAGTTGCATGCCACCACAGGCCACCAAATCAGAACGTCCGCCTTGCCCACCAAATCAGAATGTCTACATGCTCTCACATGTGGCTCTAGCTAGGTAATTGCAAGAGAAGGAAAACTATGAAACTACATACTATCATTTAACGAAACAGACATGTCTCACACAACAGAGGCCTCAGGGTTTAGGCAGGTGCGCCCCTGGGCTCAATCAAAACTTCATTCACTCCAACATGCTTGGGAGCAGTGACAGCATACAAAACTGCTCCAGCAACATCTTGTGGATCCAGCCAGAATTCTCTGTCTTGAGAGGACTGGGCAAACTCGTTCCTGGCCTCTTGATCTGTTGTCAACTGGGACAATTCTGTCCTGCAGTCACCAGGTTGAATCGTTGTCACTTTCAGTCCCTTGTCTGCATTCTCCAGCCTCATTCCTTGGCAGAAGGCTTCCACAAAGAATTTGGTTGCAGAGTAGTTGGCCAAACCAGGGAATACCTTCCTTCCAGCATCACTGGAAGTCACCACAATATGACCACTGCCTCTGGTAAGCATTCCAGGCAGGACACATGCAGTGGCATGCAACAAACCCTTGCAGTTGACATCCAACTCCTTGTGCCACTGTTCTTCACGCATGGCTTCCAATCTACCATAGAACATGACACCAGCATTGTTGACAAAGATATCAATGGGTCCACCCAAGGCAGCTTCACAATCCTTGCAGAAAGTCTCCATTTCTTCTCTACTGGTGACATCCACCTTGCAAGGATGGACCTTATCAACACCGTCCATATCCGTCAGCTGAGAAGCCAGATCCTTGAGTCTATCCAATCTTCTGCCACCAATGCCGACCTTCGCACCAGCCAGGCTCAACGCCTGAGCAATGGCTGCACCAATGCCACTGCTGGCTCCAGTCACCACAGCTACCTTGCCAGCCAAAGGCTTGCCCATGATGCCATAGGTGTTTTTGGGTGAAATGGAAGCAACGAGCCCAGCCTTGCGCCAATCCTTGAGATATCCACGCATGACGCCAAGTGTGATCTTTGGGACAGGAGTGCCAAGTGCATCGCACTTGGCAGCGAACTTTTCATTGTTCAAGGTTGATAGTTCGCTCATGGACGACACGCTAGCAGTGGCTCCTCCCATAATTGCATTTCGCAGCTTGTTAAGGTCTGGGGATTCCGTGGCCAATACACGCTTGTTCCACTCCTCCAAGGAACATGACTCCAGCGCAACACCTGCACCACGAAGAGCATCAAAATACTCATTGGCTGTGTGGCAGTTTCCAAAGTTGGTTACGTGGAAGGCCTCTCCCAGGTTGTCTCTGTCGACCATCAGCTTCACCATGGCACTGGCTGCGAAGTCGACTGGTGTCGACTCCATTATCCAACCATCCACTACCGGCGCGGCTCCAACAGCAATGCAGCCTTGCAACACCAGAAAATTGAAGTCCGATGGATTCCAAACGGCACCGACACCTCCCATATTTCCTGGACGGAAAATCACAGTGGGAAGCCCACGCTCCTTGGCGTGGTTGACAAGCATCTCAGCAACCCATTTGGTTTGACTGTATCCATTGGCACCTTCCGACAAAGGTTTCGCATACTGCATCATGTCGGCATCTTCACGGCATTCTTTCAGCCCATCAGGGAAAACTGCATCGGTAGAGATGTAGGCAAGCTTTTTGACGCGTCCATAGAGAGCGAATTCAATTACATTGCCAGTTCCCTGCACATTGGCAGACCTCAGTCCTTCGTAGGGATACACCAAGTTGACATGTGCGGCGCAATGAACAACCATGTCAACACCCGTTCCAAGCATTGCGTAATCATCATCGTCCAATCCCATGTGATGCAGGGACGTGTCAGCGGCAAATACTTGAACACGAGACGCATAGTCATCGTCCCAGAGTTGGCGTTCTTGCATGGCTTGTTGAAGTCTCGAAGCAGCTTCAGCGTTGGATGTCGCCCGAACCAGACAGTAGACGACATCTATATTGTTGTCTTGCAGGAGGTTATGCAGCAACCAGCTTCCCAAAAACCCAGTTGCTCCTGTCATGAGCACAGAACGTGCCAAGACCTGACGAAAGTGAGTGGACCTCCAAAAGGCCCGCATAGCAATGTCATTCACTGCCTCCGGTGTATCATGGGCCATTACTTCTTCCTCCAGGTTAATGGTGCGTTGAGTCATGGCTGGGCCTGACAAGGCGGTGTCATTGCCAGTCGTCTTCTGTTGCTTTTGCAGGATCAAACTGGCCAAAGCTTCAATGGTGGCATGGCTGAATAGTTCCACCACTCCCACATCGACCTCGAGTTCCGCTGAGATGCGTTGCACCAAACGAGCTGCCAACAGACTGTGTCCTCCAATATCAAAAAAGGAATCAAACACCACATCAATCTGCTTCATGCTCATAATTTCACACCACAAGGAATGCAATCGACTCTCGGTCTCATTGCGAGGAACTGTGCAGTCCTGAGCGTCGCTGTGGGTTGTTTGTTGGGTGCGTCCCACGACTTGTCCAGTCGTCAAGTCGACGGGTGGCAACGCCTTCTTGTCCAATTTACCCGATACTTCGTGAGTCGGCAATTCCTCCATATCCACCAAAAAGGCTGGAACCATGTAATGTGGCAATTTCGCCTTGAGCGCCAATCGGACCTTGCGGCAGGTGGCCTCGGCATTGGCCAATACCACATAGGCAATGACAAACTTGTCTTCTCCTTCATCTCCTTGCACAATAACACTGCAGGACGACACGAGATCGGTCAATGTCATGACGGCGGCTTCAATGGCTCGCAACTCGACGGAATATCCTCGAACCTTGACCATACTGTCACAGCGTCCCAAGATTTCCAATTCCCGATTGGGCAAGACACGAGCACGATCTCCCGTTTTGTAAAGTCTCGTTCCTTGTACAGTGGGGAATCGTTTGCCAGTCAATTCTGGCATTTTGACATATTCTCTCGCCAACGTTGGTCCTGCCACGTAGAGTTCTCCCACTTCGCCCATGGCCTTTTTGGCCAATGTTCCATCGGGCAATTCTTCCATGACATGTGCTTCGACTCCTTCCATGAGTTTTCCGACAGGACAATACTTGCGACTTCCGTACTTGCCATGGGTCAATTCCAATGCTGCCACATCGTGACATTCCGAGACAGAGTATAGATTCCAAATGCGGGCATTGGGCAACAACTTTTTGGTTCGTTCCTGTAGTGACACGGTAACGACTTCTCCACAGAGAGTAATTGTCTTGAGGCATGCGAGTTTTCCACAAATATCTTGCTTGTTGCTAGTGTCGTTCGATGATGCGGTTGTTTTGCTGGCATTTCCATGTGCATCCAAAACGGCTTCCAACAAGGAAGGTGTAAAGAGCATGCGTGTGATTTGGAGCTTGTCGCAGAAATTGGCCAATGCCAGGGGATCATAAATGACATTGTCGGGAATGACAACGAGTGTTTGTCCTCGCAAGAGAGGACGCAACATTTCCCAGACAAAGAATACGTTGCAACCTTCCTTTTCAATAATGACACTGCTCTCATTATTGTTTTCTTCATCTTCCAAGTAGGGAATTTGTCGGAGACGGTACTGGTACGAGTAGACGGAACCACGATGAGGACAAGCAATTCCTTTTGGTTTTCCCGTGGTTCCACTGGAGTATACAATATATGCCAACGAATCCAAATCATTCTGATCCACAGCCGCCACTTGTTGTTGCTGTTCCTCGGAAATGGAATCGAGACAGACATTCCAATCGTCCGAGAGCACAATGACGGTTTGATTTTGGGGCAATCGATCTTGAAAGCTTTGCGTACAAATGACCACCGTCGGTTGACTATTTTCCAGAACATCTTGCAAGAGTCCTTTGGGATACGCCGGATCCAACGGCAAATATCCTCCACCCGCCTTGTGAATGGCGATATAGGCAAGCGCGTATTCGTTGCGTCGTTCCATGAGAATGCCCACGGAATCATTTTTGGACACACCCCGTTGCATCAACATGAATGCCAATTGATCTGTCGCATGATTCAATTCTTGATAGGTCACGGATTTGGTCAAGCTTGCCAATGCAATGCGGTCGGGAGTTTGTTCGGCTTGACGGCGAAACAGTCCGTGCAAACAAGGACCCAATTCGTCATCTTGGACCAAATAGTGATCCGGGAGAGGCGTCAATGGTAAAGTGGATTTGACATTGTTATTGTTGGTGTTGTTCGAAGCGCTGGTAGAAGCTGCGTTCACCACCGTAGTGGGACTTGCATTGCGAGGTGCTGGTGTCATTGTCTTTCTTCTTCTTCTTCTTCTGTTGTTTTTATGGCGAGTTTGTTCGCTTTCAACAAAATTTAGGAAACACTCCAAGTCAAGAGCTCAGTCAAAAAAGCCACTGACTTGTGTGGTGCCACGAAACAAAACTCTCTTTCTTCTTTCTCGCTTTGTTTCTTTCTTTCTTGCCTTTGAAAAGGAGCGGATTGCCAAGTTGCAGTTTAGTTGTTGGTTTTATGTTTCGGTGGTTGTGTTGAGTTTTTTCATTTTTGTTTCTTGCGTGGTCGTTGCTTCTCTCGCATCCATCCATAGATGGAGCCGAGCCGCCCAGCTCAGCATTGGAATGTTGCAATCCGGAGTGAAGTTCGTTCGCGTCATCGGAACCTCTTCTGATTGGTCCATAAGTTGTGCTGAGGAAGATCAAATAACCATAAAATATTCCATTTTACTGAAATATGAGCAAATAAACAAACATTTGAGTAATTTTAGTATTCTCCAGCCTTCTGATTGGCCCATTCGAAGCGCCATTTTGTGCCCACTGGAACACAACTATTACATGCAAATTCCATTTGTACTTAATGAAAAAAGACAAATGTCAAGAAATTGATATTTAGAGTAAAGTTATGTACCGTTCAGGAACTAGAAAAAGACTAAATGAGAAGTTTAAAAATAAGTGACAACAGTAAACGGTACCGTAAGGACGCAACATCCGGGAAACGTCAGACGCAGAGATCGGGACGAATGATTGAATCGAATACTACGGATTCGGATTGAATTGTCCATTTCCTTGCTCCGAAGCCGATTTCCCACCCTCGGAAGCGGATTTCCGAGGTCTGGAAGCAAATTTCCAATTAAGAGACGTTCTCCGTTTAAGGATAGCGTTAGATGTCAAACGTTTTTGACGAGGAGTTCGGAGTTCGCCTCACGTAGAACCTACACAAACTATGTACCGGGAAGGAAAATCTCCTTCAGAGGGTCGGAAATCCGCTTCAGCACTGGGAAAAGACAGTTCTTCCCGAATCCGTAGTATAGTCCTTCAATTATTTATACCAAAATGTCGCATCAATCTCTGCGTATCATTCTGCAGGCCTGTTACATCGATCTGTAAGCTTGTGAGCGCTTCGTGTATCTGCCGGCCAATAACAGTCTGGGGGCTTTCAGTCGCCGACATAACAACGCAAAAGAGACGACGAGCTTGAGCCAAACGCCACAGGTGTGGGTGGTTTCCTTGAGTCAAGGCTGCCAGGAAGTGACCACTGTCCTCCTCCGCGACGGCTTGTGCTCGAGGCCTTGCTCCACAACTACAAATCAGCAAGGCAGCCCCCGCCAAGCTTGTTATGTCGCCGCAAACACCCCCACGACGATCGTGGTGAGCTCGCAGCGTTTCGATTGCACTTTCAAGCTGCTCAACTTTGACCACTAATTTCACAGGATTAGCTCCAGAGTAGGCTTCCCCAACAACGTATTTTGTTGGATTCAAAGGATCTCTATCCTGCGCTTGTGCAGCAAAAGTGAATAAGAGACTTTCTGAACCAATAAAATGACGACGCCAATTCACGTAGCCAACCTACCCCAGGCGAGTCTTGCAAATTCCAATGTGGGGCTGCTACAGCCGCTTGCACAGCCATCCCATTGGGGACAAGGAGATAGATCCATTAGATGTCGCTTCGCTACCCAGCCCCAAGCTGTCATTCTTCATGTAAGCAAATGAATCCAGCTGCTTGATTACTTTACCATTACCAGCAAGTACGATTTCACGACCACGGCAATCTGTCACGCCACAACCTTGAAGACATGGAGGAAAGAAAGCCGTAAGGTGCCTGTTCGCTTTCTGCTCGAAGATATGTGCTACATTCTCTGAGATTGCTTGGGCCATATTGCCTAGTTTCTCAACTCGTTGTTGTTGTTGTCTTCCAAAACTGAGTTGCAAAATAGCCAGCAAGCGAGCCAGCTAGCTGTTTGCCACGATCATGAGGGTGTCAACATTGAAGATGGCCTAATGGGACGGTTTCGGTTAACGATGTATCCTACGGTCCGGCGCGCATCGGCAAACAACACGAAAAATCAAGTGAAAATGGCGCTGCATGACCTCTTTGTTGATACTGTTAACTCCCTTTCGACAGCTTGACTTTGCTGTGAGCCCTTTCTATAAGTATATCGGTGGCATCGCCGCTTATCCTGTCACCTTTGGAGCGCCAGAGGCTTCTTGATTCCACAATGTCAATTTCGAGTGATTAGCCCAGGATTACTCGCCAAAAAAACTCAAGATGGTGTGTTGGTTGGAAGCTTTATGTCTTTTAGAAATTGAATATATGTCTTTATAACATGTCTCGATGTCTATAGACAATTGAGACATAGGCCCATAGTCTATTGACGCAGCGAGACGTTTCGAGACAACTATAGACATTTGAGTACAAATCGGAATTATTGAGACGTCTCGCGACGTCGCGAGACATCGCGAGACATTGGGCTTATGTCTCGAATGTCTCTAGAGACATAAGCCTTGTGCAATTCAATGGTAAAATAGGCGGATGTCTTTAATTAAAAGACAAATGGGACATGTCTCGAGATATTTAAGATGTCGCGAGACATCTCGCGACGTCTATAAACATTTAAGAACAATTCGGAATTATTGAGACGTCTCGCAACGTTGCAAGACATCGCAAGACATTGGGCTTATGTCTAGACTGTCTCGAGACATAAGGACAAACCAAGTCTGGTTGAAAAATAATTATTGGTCATATCGATATGGGAATGCGTACTTAAATATCTGTCTCAAGAAAAAATGGTGAGTAACCCAGCGTGATTGATGATTGATTGTACGCCTTCTGCCCGACTTGTGGCATTTGAGAAGATTCTGCAAATCAAAAGGTGTCTGTTTCCCGTGAACGTTGAAATTTGGCTCCACAAAGAAAAGTTGCATAGTCTAGCTAGCTACCTGGCTACTCCCCAGCCAAAATGAGGAAAGCGGCAAAAAATGGGGAAAACCTCAGGATCACTTTGGAAACAAATAAGGAATTCCACCTGAATGTTCCTAGGAGCATGACTGAAAGATGATTTTGTGATCAAAAAGCCACCATCTGCTGGTTACCAGATCTCAGTCAATATCCAACCAATTGACCTAGTTGTTGAATGGTATTCGTCAGCAATGATGTTGTTTTGAATGACATTGTCTTACTTTGTTGAGATAGTGTAGTTGATAGTGTCATATTGGGTGTTTACTAGAAGGGGTCAATTTTGCACCGAATATTTCTAAATGTAAGGGTATAGATACTGCAATTTGCCTTAATGCCAAGGCGTAAAGGCTGACTGATCTTCATGCTACTAGGTGATGTTAGGTTGCCTGTTTTCTTAAACGTAGTAAATGAGAACTTCGCCATTTGTGCTGCAGAGTAGTTGGTAGTCCCATGGAGAATATTCCTCCCTTCCACGGCAATCGGTTAAGCCAACACAGCAGCCAGTTACATTTACCGGTATGTCCAGTTCAAACAGCTCAAGGGAACGCAAGAGACGGGATGCTGTACAACATTCTGCATTCGTATGGTACCAGTATCGTACTTTACTTTACAATCTAGCTAGCCAACATGCCTGCCATCAATATACTAATGCACACTATGGTTAGTTGTGTATCATGCAATTCAATTCAATTCAATCAAGCCAATGCAGTAGAGACGTAGACACCAACACATCCCATCACCGCACCCAATATCATCAGAGTTGTTGCAAAGGATGACTCCCATTTGGGTCCTCTTCCATGCTTCTTCATGGCTTCCCGGAACATCAAACCAGGAAAGACGAAACACACAAATGTAGCAGTGGCTCCTCCACCGGCTGAGTTGATCAGACCAAGGTCTGTAACAAAACACGAAGCCAGCGTCATGATGGAAAGGAGCAGAATGGTAAAGAGATTCAACTTGGCATCGGTGTCCACCTCGTCTGTGATCCCGAGAATATCGAGGCAATTGTCCCGTACACCAATAAAGTTGAGCGGATAGGAAACCAAACTGCAGAGCCCAATGGTGATGCGACTCAGAGTGGCCAGGCTGTCTCGTGTCGAATAGTTGTTCAAAATGTACGAGTCTGAATTGGCGCCAAATGTCAAAAATCCCACAGCGGCAATGGAGAAGTAGATTGCAGCTGTAATTCCAAAGGAATATCCCACGACTTGACCAAAACGAGGGATGCTGGCATCTTTGAGTTCGGCATAGAAGCGTGGACTGTTGTAGTGCATGTCAAAGCTGGTGTACACCATACAGACAAATGGCAAGGCATCCATCGAAAAGGGCCGGCTGGAGGTTCCAAAGCTGGGTCGCATGTTTATTGGAATGTCATTGTAGAATTGTCCATCGGGCAGATAGGAACCATCTAGGTATCGAAAGGTCATGCAACCAAGAGCGCAAAGGACCGATGCCATGCCCAATGCCGAGAAAGGAGCCAGAGCATCTAGATTTTTCATGAGACAGAGAGGCAGCAGCGCCAGGAAGGTAATCAAGAGCAAGCATTCCGTCACGTTGAGGTGAATATCGATGCCCTGCAAGATGAGTTGTAACGACTGCGACAGGATGGAAGCATTGGCAAAGATTCCAATCAGCGGATCAACAGTACTTGCCACGGCCACCCCAAGACCGCCTCGATGCCCCACTGTCCTTTCCCAGCATTCACGATACGTTCCAGACAGGGACATGTCACAGGCCTTTCCAATCCTGCCAAAAGCATTTGAGAAATGAAACATGTGAGGAAGGAAGGACTTCACGTAGTTTTGGCATGAAGCTTCTTCTACCACAGTAACTTACAATAGACAAAAATATCCAAACACAGCTCCCAGCAAGACTACCCACAGAATCGCAGAGACAATGGCGGTTGGGCTGTTGGCATACAGAGCTATTCCTCCCGACAAGGACAATACACCCCCTCCAATCAAATTCTTGGTCATGTTGGCAACTTCGGAAGGAATGGTTGCAGTGCCCGCCGCCGGAATATGATGAAGACGATCGGTGTCCACAATGGCTTGTTCACTGAGCACGAAATGAGCATGAGCCAGCGTGTCCATTTCCTCCTTGATGACCTCTATTTCTTCCTTGATGTTTTCTTTGAGATCATGAATCAATAATGGAGCGCCGCAATTGTACAAATTGGTCTGATGATGGTTGTTGTTGTTGTGACTTTGATCGGAGCTGTCGGATTCGAGCTGTTGATAGACAGGGGTCGACGGAGATATGGATCCATAGTGGGTGGGGAGTTGTTGTGCTTCTTTCGTCATCTTTCGTTGTCTTTTGTAGTAAGTAAACGATTGTTGCAAACTACTGGTACTGGAAGGGTTGCCTCAAATCAAAGGAGTTGTCAGGTTTGCAAAATTATTGTGCTCTTCATCACTTCAAGAAGAAATACTGCGATTGCCTGCAAGAAAATACACTATCATCTTCATCCGGATCCTTTGTTGGATTCGCTGCCTGGCAGTTGTCGGAAGTTATTAGGTTGGCTGTGAAAATAATGATGATGCCCGATGCGTCTGCCGCTGCACTTTCGACCGCCACCGCTTCATCGTGACATCGTTCGCAATTTGCAGGATAGATAGATTTGCTCAGCTTTCAACGCACCTCGATCACAAGAAAGTTGACTTCCGCTGTTGTCGTTACTCACTTTTTGAAGGAACGATTTTTCATCGCCAAACACAAGGCAATCCCTCAACATGTGAACACGAGGTTTCTTGTTTCGCATCTATCCATTTTCATGCATGTTGTTATTTCCAACAATCGCAACAAAACTTGTCGCTGCTCTCCTTATTATCGTCGCTTGGTCTTTATCCGTCTCTTCTCTTTCATTTTCCGCAATGACGACAACAGCCAAACCGCTCGAAGGAAAAATTGCTGTGGTCACCGGAGCCAGCAGCGGCATTGGTGCCGCAATTGCCAAAGGTCTCAGTGAAGCTGGGGCCAAAGTAGGCGTGGGTGGACGAAGATTGGATAGACTCAAAGGACTTGCAGCTCAGCTCATGACCGCCAAGGGAGCGGCCAAGGTTCATGCCTGCAAAGTTGATGTCACCAGCAGAGAAGACATGGAGACTTTCTGCAAGGAATGTGAAGAAAATTTGGGAGGACCCATTGATATCTTTGTCAACAATGCTGGTGTCATGTTCTATGGTAGATTGGAAGCCATGCGCGAAGAACAGTGGCATAGGGAACTCAATGTCAACTGCAAGGGGTTGTTGCATGCCGCTGCCTGCGTCTTGCCTGGAATGCTGGCCAAAGGAAGTGGACATATTGTGGTGACTTCCAGTGATGCTGGAAGGAAGGTATTCCCTGGTTTGGCCAACTACTCTGCAACCAAGTTCTTTGTGGAAGCATTCTGCCAAGGAATGAGGCTGGAAAATGCTGATAAGGGACTCAAAGTGACAACCATTCAACCTGGTGACTGCAAGACAGAATTGTCCCAGTTGACAACAGATGAAGAGGCTAGGAAAGAGTTTGCTCAGCCCTCCCAAGCCAGAGAGTTTTGGTTGGACCCAGAAGATGTTGCTGGAGCAGTGTTGTATGCTGTCACAGCTCCCAACCATGTTGGAGTGAACGAAGTTTTGATTGAACCCCGAGGTGCCCCTGCATAAGACGCATTGGTTTTTTTTCCAATACTCAGTTAAGGCGTCCTAGCTAGATAGTCACTGAATACTTAGCTAAAGTAATTCACCCTTTGTAAGCATACTTTTTTTCGCTTTGCTTGTAGTAAGCATTGGTGAAATCGAGGAATAAGACGCTCATTTCAGTGCAATGCAAGCAAGAGGGAATCAATCCTCGCCGAGGCCGGTGATTGAAACCAACGGAACCGTCTGAATACACATGCTCCTCTTGTTCGCAAATACTCCTTCAAGTTCGCTGCTCTTGGCATGTCGCTCCTGCAGTACGCAAAGGGAAGAGCCATCTCCATTTATTCATTTGTGTTACCTATTCATCCGTTGAGTGTTGATTTGATGCCTCCCATTCCTGCGAAAAGAAGCAGACGCACCAGTCAATCTTTGTCGTACGTACCGTACCCGGGTAAGATCAAAGCAAAAAGAAGTCTTTTTTTGACAACTTGGTTCTTGTTGAAAAGACAAGTTGCGGGCATGTCTGGATTCCCCAGCAGCCCAGGATGGACGTTTTTGCGATGGCACCATGCTTCGATTTCGCTTGTGTTGTGTTGTGTTGTGTTGTTGAACGTATCCCTGCAGCACGAACTAGCCAGCTAGTAGCTACAAATCTAGTGAGCTAGATAGATAGCGAGTACAATGAAGCAGAGAAAGTGAAAAAGGTTCAATCGATTATAATATGTATGATGTTATCGCTCTCTAAAAGGCTATGTTCAGTTCAGTGTGGGTATGATCTAGCGACATTCTCGCGGTTGGCTGGAAGGGAGGGGAAGCACGAGGGGAAAGGAGCTTTGCTTTCATTTAGAGTTCCCAAAAGTTGGAGCCAAAGTCCGTCAAGATATTATGGTTGTCACTGGATCCAGCAAAGGAGGGAATGTCGGTGGGCTCTTGCTGCAGGAGAGCGGTGTTGGAGGAGAGGAGGGCAATAATATCATCTTGCATCTCCATCAGGTAGCTGCCTTGTGTGTTTGCGGGGAGAGGTGTCAAATCCACGGGGTTGGAGTTGCAAGTTCCATCGGTAAACACTGGAAGGGTCGAACTCATCAAGTCGGGCATGGGCAATTGGCTCGAAGATTGAGCACTGCAGGGAAGAGGCGATTGCTGTTGCATACACCGCTGTTCCAGGAAGGTGTTGGCGAATGGGGGGCGGCTTTGACCACGCGCTCCAGCGAATGCCCGTTTGCCCTTTCTCTGCTGTGCCATGCCGATTGACACAATGGAACTGGTGGGGTCGGAGAACGAGGAAGCGCTCTGGGTGCTGGCAACCACTCGTGCGGTAAGCATATCCTCCTGAAAGGAACTGCGTTCGGGGTGGCAGTATGGCATCCTGTAAAAGTTGGGCTCAGTGTTGGGAGAGGGTGCCAACTTGCAACCGATTCCCTTGACGCGGACACGGGTCATGCGCTTGAGGAGATCAGGGCGTCCTCGCAAGAACATCTCGTGGTAGTATCCATTGCGGTCGCTGCCTGCGGTCAATCGACGGAATCCATAGAGATTGACCTGACGCTGGAAGGAAGTCAGCTTGGTTTGACTAAAGTATCTGTAGTGGTCACATCAGAAGAGGAGAGAAGCAAAGTGAGATACTGTTCCAAGATCGCTGTGCTGTGTGACTTGGAGCCTGCATGACCGTTCTTACCTTGGCATGACTTCTTCGACGAATCGTTCCGGCTGGTGGACGACAAAGCAGCGACCATGGGGCTGCCAAGAGACCACATCATCCAAGCCATCCTTTGAGATTTGGTTGAGCATTTGGTAGAGCTTCTCGGGGAATGGAACGAGGACACCGCCGCGGGGACCACGGCGCTTGTTCGTGCTGTCTTCGTGAGGGCGGTAGAGGGGGGCACGGTAGTGATCTTGGTAGTTGTGCTCGACATATACCTTGGTCTGGCTGTTGCTCTCACCGGTCGAGGATTCGTACATACCGGTGCTGGGATTGTTGCTGTTGTTATTGGAGCTCATTGCGTTGCTGTTGCTGGAGGCAAAGTCTGCAAACCATTGAGTGGAGGGCATTCCTGTGTGTTGAGACATTGTTGGTGTGCTGGACTGAGCGCTGTAAGAAATGTGCGGAAGTTTGTTTGCTTCTTTTTGCTGCTGGCTCGAGATTGTGAGATCGAAGAATGGGGCAAAAGATTGGGCCAAGCATCCCTGGTTTCCATCCAGATTCCAGATCCCTTCAGTTGGTTTATACCGGTGAACTTTTGTCTTGAAGTAGAGAGACCCTGAAACGCACGCGATGTTACACGTATAATACGTGTAACACGTCTTACGTGTGGAATACGTATAACACGTATAACACGCGCGCCAGCCAGCCACCGTGACCGTTCGAGTTTTGCAAAATGACTTGACTTCAACTCCAACTTCTCCACCACAAAGAACCACCATGACAACAACCTCTCTTCTCTTGTTTGTTTGAAGGATACAAAGGTTTCTCTTGTTATTTGAAGATAGCACCATCATTGTGGGTAAGTAGGCAATGTGGTATGGCTTTGTTGAAGCCAAGAAGACTGTTCCTGTGGAAAGATAGAATGATTTCTCTTCATTCAACTCATTCTCCATTTTTCTGCCTCCACTCTCTTCCTCAGGCCCTGTACAGCCTTCAGGACCATTCTCTTTGCATTCATATACTTCTGAAGGCTCACTGACAAAGCCTGTGGATGACCTGGCCTTGAATTCTACCATTGTCAACCACTTTCTGTAGGGACCAGTACTGAACCCATGTAAGTACCTCAGCGCGCAACACGTGTTACGCATGTTACGCGTGTAACACGTGTTATGATGTAACACGTGTTATGCATACAACGTGTATTATATGTATCACCCGTGTTATACGTATCTAGCGTGTAACACGTGTTACAGGTGTAACATGTATTATGCATATCACCCGTGTTATACGTATCACCTGTATTATACGTATTACCCGTGTTCGTTGTCTCACCTATTTTCGTTTTCTTGTTTAGTATTTTCGTTTAGGCATCATGGTGGATTCTGACGATGAATCTGGTCCGCGAGACGGTCATGGGGCAAACGAGAATGATGCAGAAGAGACCAAGGCTGAGGAATCTGAGGAGGAGATTCCCTTTGGCCCTGACAATCCTGGTCCCTTCTTCCCTGAAGAAATCACTCCCCGGAACTTTGTTTCATGTATTCAACAAGCCATTCCGATGACCGCGAAGCGCCGAAACGAAGATGGATCCATCACCCATGATATCGCACAAAATGTTGCTGAAGAGATAGCTGCAGAAGTCGAAGCACAACGATGTCAGATGGCCGAAGCCAGCACCTACACTTTTCTTGGACTGGACCCCAACAATCCTGAGCACAGGATACAAGTTGAAAGTCTCAGGGCTTTGGGTTCCGCAGTTCCAGCATCCGCTCCAGCTCCAGCAGCCACTGCAGCACCAGCAGCCTCTGCAGCAGTCCCTCTAGCAGAATCTACCTCTGAGGACGATGAAGGCAGCGTATCAAGGCGGGTGAAGAGATGGTACCGTCTGGCTTCACCAAAGACAAGACCACTCCTTGATGCAGACTCTTCCTTAGAGATTCGATTTGTTTCGAAGTTAGAGATGAGCCTGTCCGTTCATAAAGTAAAGTCTTAACAACACTTGGCGAGAGATGGTTCTTTAGGCATTGTTCCGCTAGTGTAATGGCTTCTGTGCCAAGATGAGTACTTAACACTTTCACTTGTGCCTCTTCCAGTTGTAAAAACGACTCCTTGGACAACATATGGTAATGTGATTCCGCCTCTTATCGAATCCCTTGTTTTTGATACGGAATCCAGCAGTCTTGCAAGAAAGTACAAAGTATGGCATCAAAACTTCTTTAATATGCGCCGAATCACAAGATTGATACATCGAAGGTAGCCAATACACTGTCGATTTCTCCATTCGATAATTATCGAACCCCAGAGTATCCATAATGTTTATCTCCTTTGGTGTATCATCAGTTAGTGAGGTTGCTACATTCACAATGATTGAAGCAGGAGTCCATTCTTCATCATTGATATTGTATCTAGCAACATGGGAGAGTTCAGATAGGTAAGAGTCCATTTTACTTGATAAGCTGTCAGGTATTATGGCCTGCAACAGTGCATCTTCCTCTCTGCCTCGCAAACACCTAGCAAAACACCCGGCAAAAAAAACTTAGCAAAAATTCGTCACTATGTATTATACGTAAACACGTACAACACATAATACATGTAATACGTATAATATTTTTCCACTTGTGTTACCTGTGTTGTACGTATGACTTGTCTAATACATATTAAAAAGGTTATATGTGTAATACGTATGCTTTGTAGAATACATAGTGAAAATGTTATACGTATAATACAACCGCGTGCGTTTCAGGGGCTCTCGACTCCGTACTGTACAGCAAGCAACAAATCGGGGAGTTTTACGCCGGCAAAACTAAGGGCCTCACCCAAATCCACTACTAGTAAAATATATAGGAAGATCCTACTCTGCAGTTGTCGCTTACATACCTTTAAGTCAGAGTTGTACATGACGTACATAGAGGTAACTTTCCTCAAAAAAGATTGTTCGCATTTGCGGTAATGCTTTTCTTCAACAGTTTCACTAAGGAAGGACCAACACGTCAACCGTAAAAGGCTGAATGACACTGAATGTGCCTCCTCTTTACCTGGCGGGCAGACTGGCGAATCACTAAAGGAAATCAGAGACTATGTATTTTGGTTTTGCTTTGTAATTTGCTTCCTTTCCTTTAAGCAATCAGATGCCTTTGGCATTTCCACTGTTACCCCTGAATGTATTTATTAATTGAAAACTGCTCTTCTTTGACACGTCTTCCGCGAATTTCGTACTCCGTGGCTGTCGGAGCTTACGAGAAAACACAAGCGTTCAATAGGGGATTGACCTTTCGATCAGAAAAGTAACCAGTCTCTTTATGCCTGTCTTTCCTTGGGTCTTTGTCGACAGCGAAGCTTGATTCTCCTGGATTGCCCATAACACTTCCCTGAGTAAGTGGCATGTCCTTGGTACCGAATTTCTAGCGCTCGAATGGCCTTGGACAGCACGATGGTTACGAGCTTCTCCCGTGGCCTTGGAAACTCGCAACTATGTCTGGGGGGCGAACCACCCAAGAACAGGAGACTGCTGAAACAAGAATGAGGTGGCCGTAATAGCTGCGTGATTCGGATTTGTTTTCTGTACTCGGAGATGCGAAAACATCTGCTATGTCCTGATTTCCTTGAGATCTGTAACCACTGCAACGCGAGATCGTTAATTGAATCTACAGTAGTGAACTGGTCGTAGCCATGAACCAGTATTGGATAAACCAGAGCCTCCAGCTTGAGTGCAGCATTTTCCATTATATCTTTTTTTGCTTTGCGCCTTCTCTAAGGCGACGCAAAAGTAGAGCGCAGCTACAAAGTACATTCTTTCATAGTAAAATTTCACTTTTGCTGGGGCTAAAACTACGGTGGCTTTCTCCATTGGTACAGCTTTGCTACTTTGCTTTGATAGTGTAATTTCCGGATGCTGTGGGATCTGCCCAGTCAAGTCTACTCAGTATGTCATAGTTACGAGTTTCCTACCGTCGCCAGATTCGACTCTAGATTTGTCTTTTTGGTCACTGAAACACTTACTTTGCAAAAACAGCTGCATGCGCGATACCCCTCTGTCAGGCTTCAAGGAGAACATCAGATTCTTGTAAAGTAAGTGACGGTCGTAGACAGAGTCGTCAGTCAACGATCCAACAAGTCAAGACTACTTGATCAAATTTTGGTGCCGGCGGAAGCAGTTACTACGCATAGCGCTACTAGTAGTACACACGGAGTCGTTAGTTTTTGATATTCAGGGCTCTCCAGCGTCTCCGCTCTCGGCTGAAAAGACAGAGAGTGCGTCGAGTGACAGTCACTCAGTCTGTTTGATGGTGGTTCTCTATCTCCAGACTATTAGCTAGCTAGCTTCCAGTACCGGTACGGACAACAGAGACTTTGGGGCTTCTCTATCTCCTCCAACGTAGCTGTATTCAAGTTGTACCACCAAACTGTGCCGGCAGCTGACAGGTTTGAATGTGTGAATGGGCGGGATACGGAAGAAAGATTCCCATTGCCGACCTCCGCTCTACTCGTAGCTGGAGGTGGGCAGTGGCTGGGCAGCGTAGCATGGATTTTGCTTCATCCAACAGCTCATCCAACAGCCTATGTCCTCGAGAACTTTGCTGCCGTCGTGATAAGTTACTGCAGGAGTCTTGAAATGTCTCTGTCTATTGTCCGCGTCGCCTACTCTACTGACGTATGTATGGCTCTGGCAAAATCTAGCTAGCTGGCTGTAAGGGAGGAAACGTATCGGTCTCCTCCTCAACAGCAAACCACCAAAGGGGGCAGGAGATAGAAAGCTTTAACGGTGGTGGGCGTTTGAGGCGGCGTAGGTCGGGCGGTCGAGCAAGGATCGGGGTGGTCCTGGGGGGCTACGTCACGCGTCGATCCGACCTGAAACATCTTGGAAGCCTCATTTGCTTCATCAGCCAGGATGGTCTGAACAAACTTTCTTCTACCTGAACTACTGTTCTAGCTAGTAGGTAGAACACCAGCGTAGCATGACATGTTCCCGATCTGGCAACGTGGGGTCTCTTTGGGGCGGCTTTTGTTCCTACTGGGTAGCTTATCGACAACGGGCACTCACAACCATTATCATGCTTGCTTTTTTTCAAGAGGAGCCTTGGAGCATAACCGGCCCGATTCTTCGTTTCCAGCAAATTTAAACGGTTGTCAACGAGCTACCGAGAGTGGAGCCACAAAGCGCTGGGCTCTCTCATTGCCTCGGGGCGGGGTCTGTCTAATGACTTTGGATGTATGCCAATCCCTGGGCATTCCTCTCCGATTTCCTCCCTCGGTTTGTGTGGCAACTGTTTTTGGGGCGCGTAAGAAAACGAGTAAAGTAACAGTCTTCTCGCTTGGGAGGGAGAACGAAACGAATGATTCTATTCGATCTATTCGATTCAATCCATAAATGCAATGCGTCGGCATGGTGATCAACTCGAGTGGTGCCGTCCTCGCTCGGGATGAGGAAGCAAACTGAGCAGTTGGGCCCAGCAGATGAGAAAGCAAACAGAGCTTTAGGGCTGTCCCAAAGTCACCACATAAGCTCGGCCGACCTTCCACAATTAATAAGTCAGAAGAGGTGCAAAGAAGACATCTTTCACCCACGGCTTCCTGAAAGCGGTGAGGTGCGAGGTTGCACCTCTACGGTACCGGTGCGGGTGCGAGTAGAGTAATGTACTTCATCGAGTGAGGAGTGAACACAATAACACAATCTATCTGGTCTCTAAAAAGACCGTTCCTACTATTTGGAATCATCACGTGGATGAAAGACAGTGCAAACCACGGTGTTTCCTTTGACTCGTTCCTTTGAATGGACTTCCACGAATATATCCCCCATGATGGCATCACAATCATCATCCATCGTCATGGTGAACTCAAAATCCTGTCCGTAGATTATGGCCAATTTGAGGTAATTATTAGTGAACGCATTTCAATTGATAATCAATCAAACATCTTAGTGCCATAGCAACGGGTAACATAATCGTTCATCGCTACGTACCGGGGATTCAACATCGCAGAGCCTCGCCTCTTTCTTTATGACATCACCCTTTTGGTGGTACCACTTTGATATAATGCATCCGTCCTCGCTGACATCGGGCATGAAAACCTTAACTGAAGCAATCATGTACGCGCCCATCTGATGAGTAACAAGAAGAAAGGAAACTGGAAATTTCAAAGCAATGATATCACCAGAGTTTTCAACACTTACCCTCTTCTAAAAATTGAGATCGATCAATAATATCTTTACCGGCAAACCGTGGTGCTGTGAATGTGAAATTTCGCTTGTGGCAAAGGTTGTTTGAACTAGCGCGACATTGTACAGCACCCATGTGCCGACACAACGTCCTTGATACTGCCAATGTCATTGAACCCCTCGCTCTGTTCAATATTCTCCTTTGATAGACTTCGCTGTCGGTGGCTGGCTGGCTAGGTGGGAGCCGCTGGCTGTTGGTTTGTTGCTTGTTTGTGGTGACAGACCTGGATCATTCGGTTCGATTTGACTGTCAGTCATTCGAAGTTTCCGTCGAATGTTTCTTTTTTTATCAATTGCAGCAAAAAGTGAGTATTCTAAATATAATTTACTGGGATTTCGAATGTTTCTTTCGATTTTGTCTTCAATGATTATAGTCCAGCAGAGCTGTAAGAGATGGTGGTAACCGGGAGCTGGTTTGTTCGGGAAGCTCGCGAAAAGATTTAACTTAGTCCCACAACAGCCAGGCGAAGCACGGCTGGGAACGCATTGGAAACAGCAAAACCAGCATCGAAGCTGCAAGCAATCGTATGAAGCCCAGCATGGATCGATCCATCCTTGGAACAGAATCGTTGTTTCCTGTTTCCTGGCGTTGACCACATCTTCTCATAATAATTCACTGCAAAGAATCAAAAAGCAAGCAAACAAACAAACATGAAAGTAATATCCAAGTATCCCTTCCAAGCTGTCCCAGGAATGCAACAGCTCTCATTTCCAGCCGGCGCCACAATCCGGGCAAAGAACCAATCGAACCAAGGCGGGTGGATGTATGGATCTTATGCAGGTCAGAGTGGCTGGTTTCCGGAATCGTACGTAGAAAGATATGGTGGAATGCCTGCAGCACCATCGATGCCATTGACTCCTGTGTATGAAAGACAATCAGTGGCGGCTCCCGACAGTCCCCGCGGCAATCGCGAACGGACGTTTACCCAAGATGGCCAAGAGGAAATGGAGGGAGATGCCTTTAACATGATGGGTGGAAATCCAGGTGAACTTTTTGAAGGAGCACCCAAACCCTACTACCACAAGCAACAAGAGGTGCAAGAAGAGCCAGATACTACACCTAGTTTCTTGAAGGACAAGGAAGAAGAGCCAGTGGATATCTATCGCCATGGACCCACACGAAAACACATCTTTCATCGAGCCGAGTATACACCGGTTCAAATCACGTCGGCGCCAGCACCGAGGACGCCCACTACATCCAAGAGCACAAAGGTAGCACCGGTAGGTCTCTCGCCGACCACAGCGGGCGACTTTTGGAAGGCACATCCCGGAAGAGCCGACCAATCAGCTTCTCCCGAACAAGCTGCGGAACTGGAGAAAGCCTTTGAGGGGCTGAGAGACTCGGAAACTATTGCCATTGTGCCAGAAGAGAAGAAATCCAAGTTCCCCTATATTCCGAAATCTCTCAAAAAGGCAGCCAAGAAGAGTAAAGAGGGCATGAAAGAAGCTCTCCACAGATTTCCTGCTCCTACACAACGTGCCTAGAAAAGAAAGGAAGAAAGGAAGGAAGCAGAGGATTGCATTTAGTTGGTCCACATACGTTTGTGTGGTCTACACAATGACGAAAAATCCATACCGCAGTAGCAACGAAATCACACATTTAGATCACCGCAACATAATACTGTACATGCTACACAAACTATAGATTATCTACACTCGCTCAGATTCTTTCCACTCATCCTCGAGATAGCTAGCCTCATGTACGGTGTCTAGGTAGCTTCATATTTATTTTAAAACATGTCTTCAGCGTGTTTTGCCTCAGGGCGTCCCAATAAAAACTCGAACGATGCCTGAACTAGTCTGTTCGACGCCACTGGTACCGGTATACTGGTAAGCCTTTTTCTCCTCGACCAGCATGATACCGGTACTGCACCAACAATCATAATGCATGCAACGTTACCGGGTATCATGTTGAATACCTTCAAACTGCCTGTCAGGGTCTCTTCTCTCCAGACAACCCTTCCACTCTGGTTGCATGCGCATCTCCCACTGCCAACCACTGGGCCAGTCGAGCTGAAGGACGAGCCAGTTTTTCATAGTGCAGGCTCAAGGCATGTTGTTGGCATTCGTATTCTTCTGTCGAGAGCAGGGCCTCCTTAATCAGTAGTTTTGCTTGTAATGTAAGGAACTTTTGAATCACTTCTTTGCGTCGAAGACGGAAACGGGGTATAACATCTCGTTCCAGACCCCGTGCAGGACTCTGGCAGATCAAGGAAAGAACCGTCGGGGACACATGGTTGTCGTTGTTGGCTAGACTGTCACCCGAACTCTGCTCCGAAATGTTCTGGCGGGCCTTCGTGAAGAGAGAACTGACGGACTGGACGTAGTGTTCGCAATATCGTCGGTTCAGCTTGATGAACATGCTCTCTCGTGCTCGAATTTGCTGAAGCTCTTGAGCTGAGAACCACAGATTAGTGTCGATATAGTAATTGATTTCAACTCCCACGACAGTCGATGAAGCAATATCGTGGATTGTCTCGCTTGGAGCCAAATCAAACCGGACCCTCTTTTTCGTTGGGTTCTTCTGCACCGTTGCCATCGTCTGCAAGCTCGGTAACGTAACGCTGTGAGGATAGTGCATGTCTATTGAAGCACTGTCGGCATTGCTCTTGTCAGCCATAATGATCATGTTGTATGTTTGTCGTGTTCGTTCGTTGACAGTTGCCTCGCTGCAACCCAAGGCTGGAAATATATTGTTGTCGCTTCCTTCTCTTGAGAAGCAAATGAATTTTGTGAGTCGAGTCGATGTATCCAATTGGAAATGCTGTAAAATCGTTCCAACCTTGAACATCTGAGGTGAACAACTGCCTTTGCTTGCGCTTGAGTAAAACGATTGCTTTCTTCCATTGGTTTATGATGGCAACCATCAATCAAAGGCGATGGTCCATTGAGGACATCCGCATTTTATTGTCGGATGATCAAGAAAGAAGAAGTAAACAAGTCATACTAGTATCCTCATGGGGATCAACGGGGAAGCAATCTCGAGTAGGATGACCCTCGAGGAATGATGATCCTGAATAAACTCTCTCAGCTTCTGGCAATCCTGTATGGCGGAATAGATTCGTATCAACATGGATTTAACTGCGTGAATCTGATCTCGGTTGCCAATCATGGTCGTCTTGACTGAACAAAAGAAGGGCATCGCCTTCATAATTGGTAACTGCATGAAAGATGGAAGTGGCTACCATTGGAGTGATGATGGCTATCATTATTTCTGAGGCTTCCTGTATGATGCATTTTATTGTTCGATGGATATTGTATGAAGACTATTGGAAATATGCATTGCAACATCTATAGATCGACCAGGAGATCCGTCGAATGGTGAAAATACTCAAGCATTGAAATACATATTTTGTTGTTGCCCGTGCATGATGTGAGCAAACTTTGCCACCCCGCTCGGGGTCATCTACTTCTGTTTGGCCCAAGCGTGGAGATGACACTATAGCAATTAGTGTAGATCTGCGTGCCATAGAAAAGAGAGAAGTCAAGATACTTATTGCAACGGTAACTGGAACATTTTAGATTTGCTTCCTGAGAGCTCTTGGTACAGTACCACTAAAAACTGCATGGTGTTTAAGCAGAATGCTCAAGCCACTTACCGCGATTCCTCTGGTACCCGTACTGTTAGAACGGTACGGTACCGGTACGGTACAATACAAGCGTCAAACCTACCTAGTGACCTTACTAGTAGCTAGGCTAGCTAGCTATCATAGTGAAGAGTATCTTTGCATTTTGCATTTGGCCATCAAACAGCCGAACCCCAAATCTTTGTCAGCCGACTTCCTTTTCTCACAATCCACATCTTCACGAAGATAGAAAACAACATCACACAAAGGAAAACCACCTTTTTTTGCAAAAGCATTTCGAAATCCACCATGGGCGCCAACAACAGTAAGATTTCCGACGGCGAACGCAAAGAGATTGCGGGTCGCGGTCAGCAACTTCAATTCAAGTTCAACTTTTGGCCTGAGCCCATCCGCAAAGCTGGGACAACCCACAGCAGCAAGGAGCATGCTGCTGATTTGGCCAAGGCGGTGACAGAAGCATGTGGATCATCATTGTCGCCTTCAGGCCATGCCTTGGACACGATGGTGGCGGCCATTAGTGCCGAAGCAAATGGCGACGGTCGCTTGTTCTTGTACGGGATGGCTCATTTCCCAGATTCCACTGGGGATGAACGTCGCGCGGAAGCCTTGGCTGTCACCTTCGACAAGGACAGCAATGTGAACGGTGTAGTCCGCTACACGGATTATTTCTCGAAGGATTCCCCGGTGCTCAAGAATTCGGCGCCTCTTTCCAGCGAGGAACACAAGAATGCGTCGACGCTCAAGGCGGAATTGACATCAGCTCCTGACACGCCCAATGATGATGCCCGCAAAGTTCGCATGCAAAAGGCTGTCGGTGAGCTCTTGTCCAAGTGGAAGGATTCTCCCGATAGTTCCTTGAAGTCTCGCTTGTCCAAGTTGCCTTGGGCTCGTACCTGTGCAGGGGATGCTTTGGAGGCAGCCGTCAAGAAGTACTGCAGTGAAGACTGTACCTTGTCCATGCCCCTTCAGCAGATCACCATGAAGGCCAGTGATTTGGCTCCTCAGTGGAGGGCCCGTCTCAAGGGAGAAGGTCCTTTTGTCAGCTTTGGACAAACCGAGGTCTTTGTCACCAGTGAAGCTTACGGTAAGCGTTGTTTTGTGAACTTTTCAAGTGTACCGTCTTGTTAAAAGAGGGTCCTGTATCTCAACATTTTGCATTCGCAATCAGCCGGTCACCACCCCATTGGTTTTGCCCAGTTTGTCATGTACAGCGCCAGTGACAAGACTGGCCAGCACCACGCTAGCAACGGCATTTTGGTGGCTGAATTCGACGATGAAGGCAACAAGATTGTCAAGTTGATCATGTTCCGTGACTTTGTCTGCAATGCTGAAATGAAGACGGTTGTTATTCCCACCATTGATGTTTGATTGCTTAGTAGAGGAACTGCGTGAAAGCAAACAACGAATCTGGTGCAAAGAGTGAGACGATAGTGAATGGTACATTAAAAAAAATCTGCAATAATCATCAAGAAGGCAAACAACAACAATAATCATCAAGAAGGCAGACAGCAATAAAAATAGTCCATACATGTCATTGGAAGCGTACTCTGTCTCTTTTTGGAAAACCTGATTCATCATTCCGACCGGGGTGATTCGAGTCGTTCCCTGCTTGGTTCGGAAAAGAAGCTAGCTAGATGCCGATACCTCAGCAGCTGTATCTTCCCAATCACGTTCATTCCATTATCAGTTACGTTCTCTACAAATATCCTTGTGCCTCCCTTGTTTCGTACTGTTCGTGGCATCCCAACAGGCGAAAACCCCGAACCCCGACCGACTGATTCATCATTCCCAAGAGACATTGGTGTCAATACTCACACGTTGCTCTACGCATCGCTGCTATCACCCATCAATTCAGGTTGAGCAATGCTGGTGTCACTCTTCTTGGCTGCAGCAGGCAAGACGCAAAACACATTGACACCAACATCGGCCGTTCCCACCAGCTGGTACTTTTCCGATGGCGAGCTGCGTGTAAAGGTTTGTAACGCTTGCCCTGGTTTGCCCGTTCCCGCCACCAATGTTTCGACCGTTCCTTCTTGGGAGACGCAAAAATGCCGCACGGGACCCGCACAGTTGACGGTGTGTGGATTGGCAAGACGTCCTCCGTCGAGAATGCCATAGACTCGAATGGAGTTCTCCCCTCGTCCAAATAACACAACACCTTGGTTGGACACATAGAGAGAGTTTTGGAAGACCACCAGTTCGGCGGAAGCTTGAAAGGAAAACCCAATCAATGGTTGATGCACCAGAGTGTACTCCAATGTACTGACTTCCTGCAGACAACCCTTGTTGTCGGGATCAATTTGACCTGTTTTGGCATTGACATGATAGACCTGAATGACATTGCGTGTTTCGTAACTGAGAAAGACGTATTCGCCATTGGGACTGGTGGCAATGCGTCGTGGACGACATCCCAATCCCATGACTTTGCCCACCAATCCAGAAAACCATCCCAACGAAGGAGCGTCGGTTTTGCATTGGAAGGTGAATGTGGGTTTCTCTGTGGGAGATGCTGGCAAGCCCGTTTTGGGATCGACTGCATAGGTAAAGACAACGGATTGGTTTGGGTCGACAATCCAAATATATTCCCCCGTAGATGCATACTGGACAAAATGACTGCTCGGGATAGACAACCCCAAATCCCTGTTCGTGGCGAGTGTCTTTTGGGTGCCAGGTTCCACTTCTGCAAGTTCCAGTGTCAATGCTGGCTGATCCATGAGACTATCGGGCAGTTTGCTGGTGGAGAATTGAAAGAAGCTAACCAGACCATCATTGTGATGCGCCACGGCCAACGTCACGGTCCCACTGCTGGAGTCAACCGTGGGTGAAAAGGCAGCATGAACGGCTTCTCTTCCCGCCGTGGCTCCTTCGAGTGACGTCTTGGTCAGTGTGACATTATTATTAGTATTGTCACCACCACCCTCAAAGGAAAAACACGTCAACTGAGCAGGATGTTTATTCCCATAGGAAGTGAGGGCACAGATCAAGGGTATCGTAGGATGATGGACGAGCCATTGCGTCGAAATACCCCCAGGAGCTTTGGGTGGCAAATTGTCAGGATTGGGGGCAACGGGATACAGGGTGATCCTTTCCAAGCTACCATTGGCACCATTCACTTGGACATGGCCCATCTTGTTGGCATCTTGACTGATAAAGTAGTTGGGCATCTCCTCTTCTTGCTCTTCTTCTGTTGGTTGGTTGCTATCGTTGTCCGTCTGTGATCTGTGATGAGAAAATGGTGGTTGGTGGTTGGTCGTTGAACGTGAAGCTTGAGAACCCTAAATAAATCGGACGGAATGATTGATTGTTGGATTGAATCGAATCGAATGATTGAATCGAATCGAATCTTAAATCTTCATTTGACCTCGCTTCTTAATTACACTAATCGTTACGGTACTCAGAGATAATTACAAGAAATCTTTTAAGTACCATAGACCCCAAGGTCTGCCCCGCTTTGGGATCGCCAATGTGATTTTGGCGTCCCATGTTTTGGCTTCAGAACGCACTTGGTTTAGCAACCTCGCAGCTGGAGGGCGTTTCGAACGGATACCCATACAGAGCACAACGCATTGGATCTGTGTACTTAACCATGCTACTAGCTGCTAGTAAGATACTGGTACAGGGAACTATTCAGAGCTGATCTGTTCTTCGTTGCATCAAAGGAGGCTGCAGTGAAGTATCTCCGCGGACCTGCTTGAGATTGGCAAGATGACGATTTGTGGCGGATATCGGAGGGTATCTCTCTCCTTCCTCTTTCTTGCCCTTGTATCCAGTGCCCTTGCACAAGGTGAACATCGTGGTGCCAGTGCCTATGCGCAGTATCTAGAAGATCACCCAGAAGTGCAACGGACTAGCGAGCCGGAACTGGACTGCAGTACTCCAAGACCCAACAAGAAACAAATCTTGCAAGTCGAACATGACCTTCAAAAATGGAAAAAGGAACACGGCGAAATGCAACCCGAAAACTTGATCATTGTTCAAACCGTGTGGCACAATATTCAACTAGATAATGGTGAAGGAGGAGTCACCACGGAAGAGATCACGGCAACTATGCAATACTTGAACGAACAATTTGCTCCCGCTGGATTCACGTTCAATTTGGATGATACTACCACAAGCCAGAATTCCAGCTGGTACTTTCATGAAATTTTCACCGCGGAAGAGTTCGAGATGAAAGAGGAATTGAAAGTTGAGGGGGATGGTCTCGTAGACCAGTATGCCGTTCTGAACATTTACTCTACGGGATACTTTGTGGCAACCGGATCGTACGGCTATTCATATCACCCTTTTGTACTTGAAACGTTCCCTGAGACCGATGGCGTGGTGATTGATGGTGAAACTGTAGTAGGAGGGGTTATTATTGGAAGAAATGGAACTAATCTTGTGCATATGGTAAGAAGTGCAAGAGCTCAAAATCAACAGTGTTTCGTTGCTCTGCTGACATTTCCTCTTGTGCACCTGCTGTTTCTCTTCCTCAGGTTGGCCATTGGTAAGTGCAGGGAAAGGTCTTCTTACGCAGCGGTGCCTATGTAGACAACTGTGTTTGGGAGGTTGGCCTCATCAGGTTTTGCGCCTTTTTCTTCATATCTAGGTTGGGTTTGTATGAAGTCTTTGACGAGGTTGGAAATGAATGCGCGTAAGTTTTGGGGTTGATTTTCGTACAACACCTTGCTAAAGCTTTTGTGTTCACACTGCGTGTCTTCGTCTCTGTCTCCGAGAAGTGGATTTGGTGACTATATTCCGGATACCCCTCCGCAAGCGGAGGCGACTACTCTGGCTGATGGTTGTCCTCTTGGCAAAGACACCTGTCCCGGTGATGGGCTAGATTCGGTCAAGAACTTCATGGACTTTTCTAGCTGTCGAGAAGAATTCACTCCGTTTGTAAGTTATCCTGTCAAAATGAATGCTGCACACCAACATACATCACTAAGAATTAATGCCCCCGCAGCAAATCGCCAGGATGATCTTTATTTGGAATTTATATCGTTGCCCTAATTGTTTTGATTCAACGCTGCCGCCATTGCCGCCAGTAACCGCTCCCACGCTGCCGCCTACACCTACATGTCCACCCGGTTCTTCTTCCTTCTTGCTGGACTTGAAAACAGACCAGTATGGGGAGGAATCAACTTGGGATATTGAAAATACTTGCACTGGCTCGACGGTTCGGAGCGGCGGGCCTTACGGTGATCTACTGCAGTATTTTGAGAGTGGATGCCTCCCAGACGACCAAGTTTACGTGTTTACTTTCTACGATGATTTCGACGACGGTATCTGTTGCTTTTACGGGGAAGGAGCCTTTGGTTTCTACTACAATGACGAATTGGCACTTCAAGGAGCTATATTCGAAGATCAAGAGAGTGTTTTCTTTGGAGCAGACTTCTGTCCGTCGGGGGCCCCGATAACCATGGCACCAGTTGCGCCAACACCTCCTACAGATCCACCAACACTACCTCCTTTTGCCAGCTGTCCATCTGGAGAAACTTTGTTTGTTTTGGATCTTCTAACCGACGAATTCGGAGATGAGACCACATGGGATATCATCAACACTTGTACTTCAAGTGTTGTGGCAGCTGGTGGTCCCTATGACAATTTGGTACAGATCTTTGAGACCAGATGTCTCACGAGCGGCTTTGCGTATGAGTTCACAATTTATGACGATCCTTTCGGCGATGGAGTGAGTGGCCAGCGGTTTTGTCATATTCACACCTCGTCCGTTCAGCTCTCACTCATTCACTGGTACTTTGTGTTGCTGTTTCTAGATTTGTTGCGAATATGGAGACGGAGCATACAACCTCTACTACGGCGGGGAGAATGTTGGTTCCGGAGGAGTCTTTGAATTCTTTGAGACCACACCCTTCGGTGCCGGTAGCTGCGCACCCAGTGCCCCCGTACCAGCACCGACCGTGGCACCACCAACTAATCTTTGTCCCTCAGGTACCAGTGCTTTCAATCTGGAGTTGTTCTCAGATTTCTATGGTTACGAGAACACTTGGCAAGTGCAAGACACCTGCAACGGAGTCATTATGCTTTCCGGTGGCAATGACCCAGAGTTTGATTCCAACACCGAATACTTCGCAGCAGGATGTCTTGATAGTTCTCGGCAGTACACGTTCACGATCTTCGATTCCTTTGGCGATGGAATGTGCTGTGACTATGGCTTCGGATATTGGGAAGTCTACTACGAGGGGGAGTCGGTTGGCGACGGGGACATTTTTGAGTCTGAGGATACAGCCGATTTTGGCGCTCCTTTTTGCCCTTCAAGCCCCACAACACCTCCGCCTACGCCTGCTCCAACACTGCCGATCTTTCCAGCCTGCGCGCCTGGAAGTGATCAGTTCGTTTTGGACCTAGTGACGGACCACTATGGGATTGAAACCACCTGGAAGCTGGAAAGAACTGATTCCGGAGAGGTTGTACTTGACAGTGGAGGCACCATTGGAGGAGAAGGACCGTACGCATCAAATTCTCAGTTCTTTGTCGATACTTGTCTTGAAGATCGCTATGAGTACACGTTTACAATCTATGACTACTTTGGTGAAGGGTAAGGGGGTCATTGACTTAGTCTAGTGCAGACGATGGTTCTGTGTAGACAGACGACTGGAGTGTTCAGTTCGGGATGTTTGATCTCACTTTGTTTTGTTGCTCCTCCTTTCGTTGCACCGCAACAGGATCTGCTGTCAAGAGGGTACGGGATCTTATACCGTCTACTTAAACGGCCTGCGAGCATTCGAGGGAGGAGAGTTCGAGTTTGTTCAGAGCAACACCTTTGGTAGCGTTCGAAATGACGTTTGCTTTTCGGAAGTTGCAACAGTTCCGGTTCAAAGGAGAGGTCCTACCAGGATGACGGAACTGACCATTGGTGATAGCGTGTTTACCGCCGACGGATACCACCACCTTTACGCTTTTGCACACCAAGACAATCAGACCTCATCAGAGTTTCTCCAGATTCACACCAAAGAGTTCCCCAACCGACCCCTTGAGGTGACGAGACAGCACTTACTATTTTTGCATGCCACAAGCCGTGCTGTTCCCGCTGAATCGATCCAACCCGGAGACGTCCTTCAGAGCAGTCATGATGGGCAAGATGGGGTCATGGTCAAGCGGATCACACGCATCCATCGGAAGGGAATTTACGCGCCTCTGACAACTTCCGGCACGGTGGTTGTGGACGGCATTGTTTCTTCCTGTTATGCATCACTGCAAAGGCATGCTGGAGAGTTTGTTGAACTCCGAGGAGGCATCAAAACTGCCTTAACCCAGCACTTTGTTGCACATATGGCAATGTCACCAGTTCGTATGGCCTGCATTGGTATCTCGGAAAGATTATGCAGCACTTACGACAAGGATGGCCTGGCCGTCTTCGCCAAGCTTGGTTTCGCCATAGCCGAGTTTGCAGAAAAGAAGCCTCTTCTCGTCCAAATCATCCTACTGGTCGTGTTCTTGGTTTTGTTCGGCTCCCTTTTTGCGCTGGAACTGATCTTTGGACCCAAGATGTCTTTGGTAATCCTAATACTGGGATTCTTGGCTGCAGTTGCGCACCGAGGGCGCATGTACTGCCGCGGAAACTGCTTGCGAAAGCAAAAAAGCGACTAGTAAGGACAACTGATCCCATCGCACTAGGGGCTAAACCATCTTCTTCTTTCACATTGCTCTGAATAACGACACTCATCCTGGCTGCATCAGGAGCTCCGTAACACGTCACTATTGTCTCGCTTGCAAGGTCCTTTACTTAAAATTCTTGTTGTCGATAATTGATGTCTCTACTAGTAGTCCATCTTTTCGTAAGGCCTATGATTGTTGTGTGTTGGGTGGCTTCGTTTAGTCAGGCGCAGTCAGGAGGAAGATGGCGTGACGGAACACTGGATGGCTGTCACAAAGTTGCTCGTGGAGGAGCCGTGACCGGAGTTGGTTCAGTGCTTTAGCATTGCTCGCATTGGTCCACTAAAACAGGACTTCGAAGCAAGTGCTATACAATTCTACTTTACTCACCCCCATCAACCAATCCAGGAAGCAAGTTAGCTGCATAGCAGGGATCAGAGGTTGCTACTAGCACAGGATGAGTAACCGAGGGCTGGCGACGAGAGCTGTGGCTTGTAGTTACCAGTACGTCAACTGTGTCAGGATCGGTGAAAACAAAGTCAAAAGCGGTTGGAACTGAGAGCATGGTCTACCGGTATGTGGACAAGATTAGATACCCCACCCATTTCATCCACCACAAGCAGCACAATTCCACGCTTCCACTCATAAGCCATGTATCCCCTTTGGCTCCGTTTCTGGTATGGTATCCATGAAGCACTGTAGTGAGGCTTTCTTGCGGGAGTTAAAATTAAGGCCGGGTTTGACGCCACGCACGTCTGGCCGATTGATCATTCTTTCGAAAGGTGCGAGAAGACCACAAAAAAGCGCAAACAACCGCCGTAGCGTCTTATTACATGTACGCACAACAGAATGAATGTTAGAAAGCCCCCCCACTCAGCGCCAACGAAGAGAGCGCAACCACAGCGGGGAACACTCCCCGCTGCGGTGTTTTGCCGTGAGGCGAACGCAGGGGAAGAACCCTGCCCGGCATTCGCCACAACGCATCCAAAAGATGAACTCACCATCCGCAGACATAACCAAGAAAACAACAACAACAGCAGGCGATCGACAAGCTCGGTGCGTGACCGTTTCGACAACAACGGAAAGCGTAGAGCGACATCGGCACTGTGAGCTCCCGCAGCAAGGCGACTTCCTCTCGCGAGAGTGGAAGACGATTAGTTGGCGACAACCCATCATGGGGGAGTGGGAATTCGTGCAGAGTCATTCCCGATCTTGGGGCGCACCCCCACAAGGACGGATCTCTAAAGGACCGCCCAGACCGCACACTTTCAACATTTTAAAGGAGAACGATGATCCACGTATTCTCGCCTCCCTGCTAACACAGGGGGGAATTTGTCATTTGGATTGCTAGCAACACATCATCAACAACAACAAAAAACAACATCAACACACGCGAAGAGAGAGAAAGTCAAGAGAAACGCAGAGGCAACGGACCACACACGGAGGCAGGCAGGAGGAAAGCAGAGGCAAAGGCAGCGAAGGAAGAGAAGGAAGAAAGACGTCGCGAGCGGAATCGAAAAAAGCGAAAAGCCTACCGAAGCAGACAAAGGGAGAAGACGTGGGGCCCCGGCAGCAGCAAGAGGACCCAATGGACGAAGGCGGAGAGTGGGTCGAAGAAGAAGAAAGATAGTGAAAATGGGAACAAAAAGGCGAAGAAGGATCCAAATCCAACGCACAAGACCAAGAAGTGGAAGAAACCGAAGAACCAAGAGGAATGGGAAGCGTCTGTGGCCGTAGCTTTGGACAAGCAGAGCTACGCGACCATGGAGTCGCTCTTTATGCTAGTGCTGCGGTGGGCCGTGGCTCGTTGTGGAGTGGAGCCGCGTCGCGAACTTACGAAACAGTTTCGGCTGCTCTCGATCCGATTCCACCCCGACAAGCATCCCGATTGCAACCAGGCGAAGTACAAGATGGCTTTCCAAGCCCTCAATGAAGCACACGCACGCGCGAAAGCGGCGTTGCTGGACCAATTCGGAGGTAATGCAGAATGATAATCTGTCCAACTAAATAGCGCACCTACTATCATTGGAGGTAATGCAGAGTCTAGCTGGATATCTGGAACAAAGGACTCCGCTTTGCCTGGCCACTATTTGCGGGGGATTGGGCACTGGCACGGAGACTTTTTATTAAGACACTCTCCCTAAGTTAGTTAGACCTTCATATTTTTGAATCATTGCCTTGTTACAAGGATCTATGCGCGCTGCAAGAATTCCGAAACTTCCTCCTCCAGCGACAATTGAGACGAGCGTCCCGCCTCCTCCCGCCTCAAGGCAAGGTATCCCCGGCCCAAGCGTTCTCCAATAACATCTATCAACAACTCGTCCTGTTTCAAGGCTTCAAGGGCGCCTTGCACCGTTTGAGGCAAGGGGGCGTCCTCGTCACTCGAGGCACCAAGGGCTGGCCGCAATTCCATCTCCTGTGCAATACCTTCCAGTCCGGCCGACAAGAGTCCCGACAGGGCAAGGTACAGGTTGCAGGTGCTATCGCAAAGCTTGTACTCAACATGGTCCCATTCTTTGGTCGTCAAATTGGAGCACACTCGCAAACTGGACTCCTTATCTTCCAGGGCCCATCCAACGGAGCTTCCTGTCCAGCACCCCTTGCCAACTCGACGAAATGAGTTGACAGTGGGCAGGGATAGACCCATCAAGGCTGGCAAGTGTCGGAGAATCCCTTCTACAAAGGCCCCGCCCTGGGCACTCATGCCGCCGCGAGTGGTAAAGAGGGGCTTGCCAGTGGTGGCGTTGCGAATGGACATGTGAACATGCATCCCGTTTCCAGCCTTCATCATGTCATACTTGGGAGCAAACAAAGCTTTGAATCCATACTTGCGAGCAACAGCACGAATTGTCTCTTGGGCCAGCAAGACACGATCCGCCAGCTCCACTGGGTCGTTGCAGTATTGCAAGACGACTTCGAGCTGTCCCGGTCCCGACTCGGAGTGGATCAACTCAACAGGGATGTACTGCTGTTCTAGTTGTTCATAGAGTTCACTAATGTAATCTTCTTGTTGGTTCAGTGTGGTGGTGTTCCCGTAGACAGATTGGTCGACAAAGTTGCCAGTCTCGGCATGGACCAGGCAAAACTCGAGTTCCACTCCCACGGAAAATGCAATGTTGTGTTGCTGGGCGGCTTGTTCCACGACCTTGCGCAGGACTGTACGGGTGCAAAATGGACTCGGTTCGTCCGTATACTGATCCATCAAGTTGCCCATGACAATGGCAGATTTGGGTGCATAGGGAAGCACGCGAAAGGTGCCAAGGTCGGGTTGGACACTGAGGACGTTTCTGGCATCCATGCCGGATCCATCCACCATGTAGTCGGCATGGTGAGGGAGACCAGCAAAGCAGACTGCAGCAATGGATACTTGCTTGTCAAGACTCTTGGCCTCCTGATTCAATAGGTATTTGACGGGTTTGACCTTGGATCGAATGTTATTGCAAGCATCGACGGTGACAAAGCGCAGGAATTGGACTCCACTGAACTGGAGGCTACGAAGGAGTGCGGTTGTTGCAGCACTTTCCTGGGCGCTGGATTGGCTCGTGATCATTGTCTTGGTAGAAGTGCACATGGTGATTGTTGGACTGTTTTTGTTTGCTTTTGCAATTTGTTTTGTTGTGTTTGCTTCAAGTTGTTGCTTGTTTGGCTGTTGAGGTGATTTTTCTTTTTTCTTTTGAAATTGTGAGCTTGCATTGTTCGAAAACACCTCTTGTGGGTGCAGCATGAGAGAACCAATACCAATACCTCTTGTGTGAGGTGGATCCCTGTTATTGGTTCTCCAGTGTTTCTCTGGTACCGGTACGGCACAGTTGCACAGTATGTTTCAATCTGCTCGAGCGCAAAGATTTTCCACGGCATGCGAGGCGAGCGAGTGACGAGTCACATGACCTGCTGCCCTTCTGCGGCGGCGTCCACAACGCAACAACACCTGCAACAATCCACTATGGTATTTTTACAGTCTGCTCCATTGCCAGTTCCCCATCCTACCGGTGGCCGCAGCACCAGCATCGTTGAACAGCAAGAACGGTTCCAGCAAAGACAGACATGCACACCGTCTTCACATCCGGACATCCGGTATCGGTACCGGTACCGGTACTACCATACTACGTACAATATCTCGTACGGTACCGTATCGTTTACACCCGGAAGACCAACAAAACAATGTGATATATCTCCATCCCTAACATCACCGTTTAATCTCATTGTCCTTTCTCTAAGTCATCAAGGCTCCAAAGTTGGTTAAATCACATCTGCCCTGGTCTTGTTCCCTATTTAGGTTAAAGAATGACAAAGTACACTCTCATGTGGTCTTGCTAAGTACCAAGATAGACCTCTAACTCATGATCAATATTGTGACTGGATCATTTACAAAAGAACTCTGGACAGTGGTTATTCATTGTTTCGCAACCTTTTGTAGGTTCCTGCTACAGTAGCTAGCTAGTAGCAGGCTTCCGGATTCCGGATCCGATCTTCTATTGCAATTATCAGATGTACTGAGTGCAAGCAATGAAATTGACAACGCATGCAGGAAACACATCCTTCACCAATCTTGGCGACCTACCCACAATAAAAGAGTTCAACAGCTCTCAAGAAAAAGAAAAACTCGAGTAGTACGGTATTGCTGAGTAACACAAAAGATGACCATGACGATGGAATCTCCACCCTCCAGACGCGATGCACTTCGCTCCCAACGATCTTCCAAATCTCTTCGTCGTCTGAATACTGGTGGCGACAATAATACTAATAACAGTAAGAGTCCTCCCCCGGACCGTGCTCGTCGACAACGCTTGGAACGAGGTCCTTCTTCTCGCGGACTGACACGAGGACTATCGTCGCGTGCCAATAAACGTGATTCCTGGTCTCGTCGATCGCACGGACTAGATGACGACGATGAAGAAGTTGAAGACATGGAAGCGTTGGATCAAGACGACAATAAGAAAGAAAAACGCCGTGGTGGTAGCGGCATGCGTCGTACTACCAGTGCCGACAATGGTTCTGGTGGAAGTTTCGAACGTCGTCCTAAATTGGCACGCAACAAATCCTGCGATGGTTCTACCATGCCCTTTCAACGCGTCCAACGACGCAATTTCGCCGCCAATGCCAAATTGGATCGATCGGCCAGTGTCCGTCGATTGGGGGGTTTGAGCAGCAATAATAATAGTCGCAGTACGTCCAGTCGTCATTTGCTCGGCTCCTCGCGGTCGTCGCGCAATTTACAATTGGATCGCAGCAAGAGCGAACGACGATTCAACACGGAAAACAACAATAATAGTAAGGAAGACAAGGCCATGAAGGCTCCCAGTCGATCCATCGATGGTTCCCGTCGATCCATGGATGGCAGCAGTGAAGGAGGAAGATCATCCGCACGACGAGGACGAGTGGCGCGCAAAAACAGTGGCATGGGCGTCAGTCGCAACAACAGTGGCGGTTCCGTCATGAGTGGTTCGTCCTCCAATGGTGGTGGAGGAGAAACCAGTGTCCGGCGTCGTCGCAATTCCCGACGGGAAAAACATCAACACAATACCGCACTGCATTTGGAACGTCTCGATCAGAAACAACAGTATGACGACGACGACGACGACGATGATGACGATACCGTCACTGGAAAAGTGGTGGTCAAGGGTAAAGGATTGGACGATGGACGTCGTCGTCGCAGGGAACCCACGCTCAGTAAAATGAGTATTGATCAATTGAGGAATCGACTCGTAGGAAGAGACGAGGAAGAGGAGGAGGAAGAAGAACAACCAGGTGATGAAATGGAAAACGACGGCTCCAATTGGGCAGCATTTGACGATGTGCCTCCTCCATTGACATCGGATCTCAACGATGATTAGAAAAGTTACAAAGGAAAAATAAGGTGGAGGAAAACAGCAACCAGCAAGAAAAAGAATCTTGCTGGGAGCGAAACCAAGTGCTCTACAACAAATGGAAGGGCAAGAAGATTTCTTGCCACAACTATAAAGTTCTATCTGCTTCATAAGAAAGCGCCGGTCGAGCGAAGAGGGACGGATGGCAATTGCTGGAGGGACACGGTCGACTGCGCAATTTGCACTACCGTACCTGGTACATCATTACACATTACATGCATCAATTTTATTTCATGGCATGATTTCTTGAACTCTTATTGACCAGGATGGCGTGTATTTGACTGCACTAGCTAGCTAGTAGTATCGCCTTGTTGCCGAGTAGACAGTCAAATCGAACGTTGATGCAATAGCATACATGTACGGTACTGTGCAATATCATTGGGCGTGCGGCTGGGCCTGGGGGCACAAGGAACGCCTGCAGGAGATGAGCAAAGGAACTGATGGCAGTTGGAGATTCCAGGTTGTAACAATTCTATCTAGTTTCAAGTGTTACATTCAGTAGCCATACTACAGTTCCTCGACGCTGGAAGGATTATTACAGTTTGCTAGCAATTTAATTTTGGCTTCCGGGTTGATGTCTGTATGGAAACCGTACTACTCTTTCTCCTGTGATAGATTCGACTCGATTCGGTAGACTATCACTCACTAAGGCGGAGCACAAAGACATCATCCCATGTTTGCCGAAATGGAGCCCACCCACCCGTCATGAGAAACTCTTGGCAGTCATCCGCACTACCGGTAGCAACGGCGGGTGTCAACGTGGCTGCATTTCGCGGCTCGGGACAAGCATCATCGTCACTACTTGATTTTTCTTCCAAAAGCTTTTCCCACCGTCCCTCAGTATTGTCGCTGTTCTTGTTGTTGTTGTCTTCTTGCTGTGGAATAATATGCAAGGCCCAAACATCTCCCTTGGGATTCAAGCCAGTGGGCGTGGTTTCGGCTCCTCCAAAGAGAATGGCACAGGTGGAACTGTACGTGCCGAGACATGCCCCAGCACGTGCCGAAGGACACTCTTCTTCCATGATCGCAATGGGGGTCCAATTCCATGTTTCGGTATCGAGTAGAAACGCTCGATTGGTCATGCTGCCATCTTTGGTGGCTCCACCCCATACCAACAGGGTCGTGTCGTCCAGCATTGTGGCGGTATGCAGACCTAAACTGCCCGGACTGGTGCCGGTAGTGGCTTGTTGTGTGAATTCTTGTGTGTTTGGATCAAAGATCCACACATGATCGATACATCGAAATGTGTGAAGGAGTATTTTGTTTTGTTGGTTCAACGTCACTGCCACATGTCGACTGGTAGGTCCATCGGGAAGAGTACATGCCAATTGGTTCCATTCCAGAGAGTCCAAATCCAAGCAGTGGACCGTATCTAGAATGATGCCTCCTGTACCGGGTGTTTGAGGATCCCATCCTCCAAACAGATACGCCTTGTTGTTGTCATTGTCACAGGCGGTCGCAGTGGCCAATCGTGGACCCGGGATATCACCGGAAGGGGATTGTAGCTGCCACGCACCGTCCTTCCATTTCCACAAATCATTGCGGACATCACGAAATGGCATGTCGCCTTCTTTGGCAGGATCTTCTTCAATGTATCCACCAAACACAAAGGCAGTCGACGATGGTGTAGTAGTAGTAAATGCAGTATGACCCGATCGACGTGGAGAGATTCGTTGGGACGGCGAGGATGCCATTGGGATCCACTCGGCTTTTAACGACATGATGGGCTGAGAACAAATAATAATGCTCGTCACAAGGACCAACAATAATTGGCGGGGCTTGCACAACGATGTCATTGTCAGCTCAATTGCTGCTTCCGTGCTTCCGTCCAATTCGTGGAATGAATCAATGGCTCTTCTCGTGTTTCCAAGTGTTCTGATGCTCGCTTGACAAGTGGTGTTGTTCGACAGCCGAGTTTGAAGGCGATGTCATGGTCTCGATGGCAGCTTTGGAATTCAGGTAGGTGCGGTAAAATTCGCAAATAGTAGCATTGAAAATAACTATAACCCTATATTTACCTTATCTACCCATATATAGCTGTCACCCAGTATCTTTATATTACCTCAACCTCGGGAAGAAAGATTCGTCACCAAAATCCAGAACAGCGACGAAGTATGGGGGGATTAGAGCAGGGAAATTATCTATGGAAGCCAGCCGGGGCCAGGCTTAAGCAAAGAACAGTCCAAATTCAGGACTAGGTTCTGTGGGATCAGGGGCAAGAAATTGAGGACCAGTACGGGGGAGTGATGAAGGTTGAGCTGACTTCGACAATGGTGCTTGCATTGCTTGCAAGCAGTGAGCTTTTGGCTGGGCTGAGTGGAAGTGCTTCTAGCTTGACGAAGGCACAGGGTTTCCAACGCGAGAATGGCAACCAATTCTGTCACGGTTTCTTGGTTGCTGTTCGTGGTGTTTAGTTCTTTCTATTTGTTGTTTGCCACAGCGACCGAGACAATCCAAGAAGCAACAAACACAATCTGTGACATTAGTTCCACTGCACTAAACAGCAAAGCTTCAGGCGTTGATATACCGAGATCCTGCTTAGATTCCGAGGAACCAAGCGATGCTTCTACACGTACGGTACATGTAAATTTTTTCTACATGTGTGTCAGACCGGACCGGACGACTCAATCGGGTGTTCCCTTGGTCATGGACCTGCATCCACTGTTGGCTTGTCCCAAATGGTACACCGTATACTCGGGATGGCTTGAGCTGGCCACGGCTCGCTGTTTTGTGGTCGTCTGGCCTATTGGTGTGACCGATCCCAACATCTCTACCAGTCTTTGTTGGGCCACACCCGCTGGAAATTCACCATTGGATCCCGACAAGACCACTTGTTCCTGCTGCTGCATCCACCCCAATTCCCTGCAAGGAGAACTCGAAGTCGATACAAAGCCATTAGTGATTTGGAATTCCTCCGACAAGCCGCCGTTCGAATCGTTCAGCACCACAATAACAACCTGCATCATATTATGAATGACAATATGATCAATCCACGACGAGTCAACATGACGGGACACCCCAATGGCTGCTACGCATCGTTTGGTATGGCCATGCAGCATTCCGATCTTGTCGCTGCCATGGCTTGCATGACTGGTCATTGGGTACCCCCACCAGCTACCAACTACACCCCCGTCCCCATTTGGGCACTCCATGGTGCCAGGGATATCATTGCACCCACCAACAGAGTAGACCTGTTGGGGGCGGCCTATGTTCCCGCCAAGGCACTCGCCTTTGACCGGTTGTCGGCCTTGCACGAGTGCACCAACAATAATGTAACCACCACAGAAGACGCAGTCCCCGAGATGGATGTTTTGCTGACGGGACGAGGAACCCTGACCACACAAACGGCCACGTCCTGTCCCCACGGGGCAACCGTGGAGTTTGTCACCCTGTCCACTGCGGGACACATAGCCTTTCCCGCGATACCCGAATTTCTCCCATTACCGCCCTTTGCCACTAGCTAGAACCACCGTCGATACGACAACCTTGGCCTGGGAGTTCTTTGTCGCAGTTTGAAAAAGACCAAGATCTACCAGAGTTCCAACCAGTGTACCTGGTAGTATGTCGAAAAGCAAACTTTGTATCCCGGGCCCACGGCCGTTGCCGGGAAGTCATCGTTCTCAATTCTTCCTGTCCACAACGAACTCAAATACTATCATACGTCGTGTCAGGACGAATCGATACGATCGTACCCGCAAAGCAAGCAAACCAGAAATTTGGTGCTTTGATGTGAAGCAACGACCATGAATCACTCAAAAACTCCAAGATTTGAACCTTTCGTCTCAACAATAAGGCTTTCAACATCGAAACATCGAAATAAACCACACACTTTCGTCGTTGCCATTGCAGTACTGTACCAAGTAATAGAGGAAGAAAACACCATGTCACTTCAAGGGAAAAAGAGAAAGATGGAGGATGACAAGGAGTTGTTTGTATGGCCGTTTGCCAAGAACAAGAACAAGTACAACAGCAACAACAATACTGTCGAGGAACAGACACAACAAACTTTGGAAAAGGAGAATTGGCAGCTAAAGATTGAGAACGAGCAATTGAAGTTGGAGAACCAAGTCGCAAAACGCCAATTTGATATCGTCTGCGGGGCGATGCAGAAAGCCTCAAAGCGGCTCAGAGATGGCAAAGGAACGCCTCGAGCCGTGCTGGGCCACGCGGTGGAGGAATTGAAGAAAGAAACCGAGAGGATTGGTGAGCTCAATGCCACCCCTCACAAGGTCTAGCTCGGGAGAGTTCGAAAGAGGAGAATGTTAAAAGCAGCATGCACAGGCACTATGGTGATGTGCGGCAGAAGAGGACGATGGCATGGTTGGTGCTGGAGCGAGAGCTGTAATCTTCTATTGATAGGAAAGACCACGACTCCAAGGTTGTTTCTAGATAGTTGCAACGCCCGAAAGATTGATTTGGTAGAGGCTCTCATACATGTGCTTTCATAGGTAGCAACGTCAATGGCGGGTCCTTTAGAATATTTTGTTTGTGCATCACCCATCCATTTATCTAGATTGAAACAAGAATTGTAGCTCGGGCGATTGTGACTTTTCAGCCACCCCAATCCCCACGTCCACTGTTTGCCCGTCCTTCTGAGCAATCGCTTCCGTTTGCGTACTGGATCGAGTGGGAGGAGCAACATTGGCGTCATTTTCTAGCACAAACACAAAAAGGGATCCATCACCTCCCCGTATGATTCTCATCTTGTCGTCGAGATATGTCACGTCATTGGCGGGTTGGGCTCGACTTTTGTCCGCGTTGGGGATCAGCGTTTTGGACAGCCACGTCTTTTGAATGCCGAATACTTCATCTAACGTAAATGTAATACCCCGAAAGTATACATTGACCCGGTTGTTTCGATCATTGACAACCTGGACTGCATTGACAGTGCCAGGCCCCGCCACTTGCACATCCCCCACCACACTAATCACTATTTTGGCCAGGTTTCCCACCAGAATTGGAGATCTATTTTCAAAAGTGCCTTGCGCCGTGTCAATGGGTTGATAGGTCTTTCCCAAGTGAAACCCCGGTGGGAGATTGTCTGCCAAGCTTCCGATTTCGGGTGCATTGGAATATACCAAACGCCAAGCATTTCCGGTCAAGAGCGGTGAAATGGCATTGTCACGTTGCTGGGCTAACCGTTCCAAGTGGGAGGCGAGCGTTTCAATATTTTCCACCAACGTGGCATCTACAATGGTACTGTTCGTAGCAGGGGCTCCATACGGCATGCTGGGAATGGTGGATATCAAGAGACGAGAGGAAGACTGGACCGTATCAACACTACTGGTGTCCATGGCCAAGGCAGGTGAAGAATCGGCAGTGACTAGTGACAAGAATGCTCCTCCTGTGGATACGGATGCCAGGAAAGCTTGACGTCTCGACAGAACGCTTCCAGTCCAACCATGGCAGCCAATCAAGACATTGAAAAGGAAGAGAGTTGCGGTCAATACTGATGATGCTGTCGGCATTCTTGCACCTCTTGCAGTGTCAAGGAATCAACCAGGGCTTGCAAGTTGGTAGTAGAAGCAAGGAGGATCATCTCCCGATTTGCCTGCTTCGTCAGAAAGATCTGAAGTTAAAAAAAGATCCAACATGGAAAGCCCAAGCCCATACCAGGTACCCAGGTACCGATTGGCTGGCTTGACCTCAGCGAAAGGCCTTGAGCCTTGAAGATTGAAAGATGAAGACAAGAGACAAGAAGCATTCACCGGCTCACCGGCACCCTCCACCATACGGTAGAAGACAACAAACAAACAAGCACCATGCCACCCGCCGACAACAGCAAGTCATCGGTGCTGGTAACTCTCGCAACGGGCAAGCTAGGGCTGGGCATTTGTGAGGCATTTCTAGGGGTGAATGATGGCGACAATGCATACGTCGTCCACGGAACCAGCCGAAACCCCCAACACCCGGCCCTCCTTTCTCGAGGTATCCAACCCATTGAATTTCAATTTGGAAGCAAAGAATCCATAGAGCGCGCTCTCAATATTGCCAATCCAGATGTGGTGGTTGTCATTACGGCTCTCATTCAAATCGCCAAGTCAGTGTCTGCAGAAGTCGAGCACGCGAGAATCATTTTGGATGCTTGTAAAGATTTCGGCAGCAACCACCCAGGCAGAGCCCCACCGCATGTGATTTTCTGCTCTAGTCATAGTGCCACAAAGGATACACCAGACCGTGTTCCCCATTTCAAGAGCAAGTACTTTTGCGAGGAGTATCTGCGAGGGCTGGATATACCACATTCGATTCTCAAACCAGCGTCCTTTATGGAAAATTTCGACGATCCTACCGTCTATAATCCACTCACCTATGGCACTCTGCGAGACTTGTATCCCATTGACACACCTGTTCCGCTGGTGGGAACATTGGATGTTGGAAAGGCAGCCGTGGCCATGGTGCGCCAAAGCATGCGCCACGGGGAGAAAGTCCCGTGCATTTCCATAGTATCCACGGGACGACAAAGCGCGGAATGCTTGTCGCAAGCGTCGGGCACGCCTGGTTGTTCCTACCAAACCGCTCCGCCTCGATTCGTTCAATACATCATTTTGCGCGATTTGTACCACATGGTGTCTCATGTTGGTCAGGAGAGCGCTGGTGACGATTGCTATCAAGACGAGATGAAAGCCTTTCGTGAGTTGGTGCCCAAGCCAATGTCGCTGCAGGAGTGGTTCCAGAAAAAGGGCAAATGGGCGGATGGGACTCCGTTCGGTGAGAAACCAACAGCAAAGTCAATGTGGGACAGCAAGTTGGTTTTGGTCGCCAGTTCTGCCGTCCTTGTGGCTGTGGCGTGGAGCTGGCGTTCTCGTTCTTAGATGGCTACAGGCAAACAAGATGATAGCTGCTTCGCACGGACGGGCCCACACCAAAAGAACGGAGGGCAAAATTCTGCACATCTAGGGCACCCGAGTCGGCGTCAGTATCATGATCCGCAGTCATGGTTGTGCATTGGCTGGTTTCCAGCGGACAAGAAAAACAGTGTCAGGCGCAGTCAAGAGGCAGATGTAGCTATACAAGTTCACCCTTTTGTTGATATTAGTATGGGCCACCTACAGGCGTCGGCCAGCTAGCTAGACACCTAAAGAACCTAGTACTTCCTCAGGACAAGTTGTATTTACATTCTGCTGACGTTTAGTTGCTGGCCTCAATTGTTTATTTGGCTTGGTACTGCGAACATGCTTGGTCCTCATTCCAAAAGCCTCGTTGTACTAACGGAAAATCCAATGGTGCGAGTAAACCTCTTTCCGAGGCTACCAGCCAGGAGGGAGGGAATGGCACACAGCTCTAGTTGTTACTGTAGTATGAACACCTTGAGACAAAAACCACCTGGGACTGAGACTAAGAACTTTCCCCAAAGATAGATGACACCACACAAAAGACAGTCACAATTAATTGTTCTCTACTAGTTTGCCCCAAATGCACAATCTGATTTGATTTCAGCACTGCATGATTTTATTCTGCCGATGGCGGCTCCAGAATATGGCTTGGCGTGGATCTGGCAATCTTCAACTCTTCTTCGTTCATGTCGGCAGCAATGGAAGCAAAGAGTGGTGTGGATAGGTATCGTTCTCCAGTGTCGGGCAACATGCAGACAATGGTGGATCCCTCGGGTGCCTTTTTCGCAGTTTCAATGGCGGCCCACACGGTGGCACCACCCGAGATTCCAGTGAGAATACCTTCCTTTTTGGCAAGGTCTTGGGCGGTTGCCACAGCCGCTCCATCGGGAATGGACACATAGTCATCCATGAGGTCCAAGCTCATTCCCTGCTCGAGAACGAGTGGAATGAAATCAGGAGTCCATCCTTGAATGGGGTGAGCAGCAAATGCAGGGTGAGATCCCTTGGGAGAACCATCTTCGTTGCGTTCTGTGGCAACACCCGAATCCAGCAAGGCAGCAGCACCCGGTTCGGCCAAGACAATTTTGGTATCTGGCGAGTTGGCTTTAATGTACTTTCCAGCACCGTGAAAGGTTCCTCCAGTACCATAGCCTGTGACCCAGTAGTCGAGTTTGCCACCAATACTGGCAATGTCATTGCAGATTTCGGGTCCCGTAGTGGCTTCATGGAATTTCCAATTGGCCTCCGTTTCGAATTGATGACAAAGGAACCAACCGTGTTTTTCTGCCAATTCCGCCGCCTTTTCGACCATTCCAGTTCCCTTGCCAGCTTTGGGTGTGACAATGACTTTGGCACCCAACATGCGCATCAATTTACGACGCTCCACAGAGAAGGGTTCTGCCATGGTAATGACACAGGGATACCCACGTTGAGCGCTTTTTTCGTGATACAGGTATAAATGATAATATTGACAATAATATGTGAGGGATCCACATAACATGCTTTGAATAAGGCAGTGTTACCACTGCGAACGCATCGCATGTATAGATAATTGATTGTTTGTTTGTTTGTTTGCTTACCACATCATGGCGACGGCAATACCAGTGTTTCCCGAAGTTGCTTCAATGACAGTCTGTCCCGGCTTGAGTGTGCCTTCCTTTTCGGCTGTTTCAATAATGCTGAGTGCCAATCGATCTTTGACCGAAGAGAGAGGATTGAAGAATTCTGCCTTGGCATAAATGGTCCTACCGGCGGGGCACAAGCTGTCACTGAGCTTGATCATGGGAGTGTTTCCCACGGCTTCACTGATATTGTCCAAAGGAGGACCATAGCCATCGCCACGAGCACGTTTGTTGGTCGCACCCACACGATTCTTGATGGCACGCTTGATACGACCCAACAAAAAGACCGACGTTGGACTATCTGTTGTCAGAGAAGGAGAAGGGCGGGATGCAGGGGACACAAAGGCATCGGCTGCATGGCAAGATGCCAGCAAGAAAAGAGCAGTACGGAGGAGCTTCATGGTGGAATCTTATACTCGTCAACAACAGCAATTAATTCCAATGGATGGGTTCAAGCTGGTCGTTGTGGCGTTGGATGGGAAGTGTCTTTTTCGCCTCCTGGCCAAAAGATCGGAAGATCGAGAAGGGTGCGAGAAGCGTCATGTTGAAAAGGTGTGAACTTGAACGCACAATTTCTCTAATTTAATCAATATCCTTCCAGCTCTACTGTCTAGTATTCTATTAGACTGGCTATTCGTTTCGTTTTCTCTTTCTCTCTCGTTCAGATTGTGAGCTCTACAACTGAGCTCCGATATGCATACATATACAGGATCTTTCGATCCTCTGCTCTCTCGCAGTTTCATCACAGATAGATCTCGTCGATCTATCTTCCTGAAGTGCATGGTTGGCCCTGGAGGGCTTCCCACTTTACTAAACCTATGGACCTTCATTCGTCCATTCATTTGCTCCATCCCGTCGCTCCTTGCATTCATCTCCTCGACCTAACTTCCTAACCTTTGTAGTGCATCATCTAGACGACCATTGTCCTCGTTCCTCGACACCTGGCCATCTGTGATGATCGGATAACCATTTGATTTGAGTCACACATCCCCAATCACGAACCCTGATTGTGGATCCCGAGTCGTCTGTCCGTCATACGAAAATACCTTTCTGACACCCTTCCTGTTTTCGCGATTATGGCAGCGACCTTCTTACCAACTCAACCAATTGCTCCTTGTCTCCTGTTAATTTCGTGCATGTCTGTCGAGGGTCTCACGTTGACATTCTTGGTTCCAATGTCGCTCGTTGTCTTCCGGCGAACAAAATCAATCTTCACTGGCCGTCCTGCTGCATTTGATTCACCGTAGTGCCACCTGTATCATATGCCTTGTCCGACTTGCACTTGTCTCTGTTCTCTGACATAAAGATAGCACCTACGTTATCGATCTTCACTTGCACAGGTAGTTCCACGTTGATCTGTAGGAACTTCAGAATCTGCGCGATGAACGGGACTTCTCGTACTGTTCGCCACACGCGTAGAACTCAGCTTCGGAACTTGACAATGCTACGACCTTCTGTAGCTTGGACCTCCAGTGAATGAGCACACCTTCGAGAAAGTCATCATGGACGTGATGATCTTCTGTTGTTCTTGTCTCCGGCCCAATCCAATCCGAGAATACTTCCAATTTCACGGTCCTTCGTTCTTCTACTGGTCTCATCAAAAGTCCACGTTCCTTGAGTCCAACAACGTACTTTACACAGCGTAGCATTTCTTTGTACGCTGCCGGCGTTGCGCATCCCAAGACCTTAGCTAGCTCTCGTACTGCGTTCGAGATTTCTGGCCTTGAATGCTTGATCAGGTACATGAGCATGCCTACTCCTGGTCGATATCTGCTCTGTTGTTCTTCAGCGATCCAATCCTCTGTTCGTCTGTCCTTACTATTCCGAGTCCAGCGTTCCCGCAGTCTTGTACCTGGGTAGCTTCTGTACCTCCTCTCCGAATGTTGTTTGAATCTTCTTAATCATGTGGATCTCTCTCTTTC